ACAAAGGCAAACACCTTGTGCACATGCCCCAGCCAGACGCTCGCCACAGCTTCCTGTGGGTGTCCCAGCCGGTGCCACACAGCGCCCTGGCGGCTCCACGCCTCACCCCTCCTCAATGTGGAAACCTAACGGAAAGCCAACACTGGTGGTAGCACTATGCCTTCTCAGTCCCTGCCGTCTACACGGGGTGTGGGGCCGCCAGACTGGGTTCCCTGGGGAGCAAACACAGGTGCGTGCCCCGGGCAGCATCCTCAGGGCCTGGGGGAGCTGTGGCTGCCGATGGCAGAGAAGGAAACTGCCCTTTCTCAGGTCCCCACAGCTGTGCATGGCAGGAAGGGACCCCTCCCCATCCCCCCATTCCCTCTTTGTGAGGGTTTCCTGAGCACTGTCTGTGTTTTGGACCATCGGTAAGGAATGAGCAAAAAGGAATGTCCCAGTCCTGGTACCCGGGGAGACAGAAAACAAGTCACACTCATGGGGAGACGTACTCGGGGGACAGTGGGTACATGAGGGCTCATTAGGGAGGGACCTGACACCGAGGCGAGATCCAGGGAAGATTGGCTTCTCCCAGGAAGGGAGTTAGGGTTGGAAATGAGAATACGAAGGAGGAAATGAGGAAAGGAGTGAGGGCGTCTCAGGAAGAGGAAAAAGAACGTGCAAAGGCCCTGTGGCAGAGAAACAGGGAGAGGAACCAATGAGGCAGGACAAGAGGCAGGGGCTGAGTGGTACAAAAGGAGGCTGTGGGGACTGAAGGCCCAGGCCAGGCAGGGCCCCCAGCTGGGCTCTTCAGCCTGCGGTGCCAGAAGCCTGGGTGTGTGTGAAGGCCGGCTTTCTTTGTTCTTTCTTTCTTTTTTTTTTTTTTAAGGTTTATTTATTTATTTGAAAGTCAGAGTTACAGAGAGTGAGGGAAAGAGAATGAGAGAGAGAGAATCTTCCATCTGCTGGTTCTCTCCTCAAATGGCTGCAGTGGCTGGGGCTGGGCCAGGCTGAAGCCAGGAGCCTGGAACTCCATCCAGGTCTCTCATATGGGCGACAGGGACCCAAGCACTTGGGCCGTCTTCCGCGGCTTCCCCAGGCGCATTAGCAGGGAGTAGGGTCAGAATGGAGCAGCTGGGATGTGACCTGGTGCCCACATGAAATGTGGCGTCACAGGTAGTGGTTTAACCCACTGCGCCATAGTGCTGGCCCCCATCTTTTATTTGAAAACTGATCTGGCTGAGACAGAGCTGAGTGGAGACAGGACGATGCGGCTTTCCTGTTTTGTCCCCTCTCAGCGATCTCCTGTCTCCCACTGGACAAAAGGAAGGCGTTACCTCTCATCCAACTTGACCACCTCACCTGTGCTGGTGTTCTGAGGCATTAAAACCCGCACCATTGGTGTCAAGTCTCCGAAAATCCTTTCCCTGGCCATCTCACTAAGTAAAACACTTTTACAAATATGTATGCATGCATGTATGTATGTACTTAAAAAGGAGAGAGAGAGAGGGAGAGAGAGAGAGAGAGAGAGATCGTCCATCTCCTGGTACATTCCTCAAATGCCTACAACAGGTTGGGCCAAGCCGCAGCCAGGAGCCAGGGGCCAGGAACTGCATCACGGCCTCCCATGTGGGTAGGACCAGGCACGGACCCAAGCCCTTGGGCCGTCATCTGCTGCCTCCCAGAAGGTGCGTTAGTAGGAAGCTCAGCCAGAACTGGAGTAGCTGGTGCTGGAATCAGGCACTCTCATCCGGGTTTGCAGGCGTCCCAGGTGCCAGCTGAACTGCTGTGCCATTATGCGCTTCTGATACAACTTTCCTTTGGATGTTTAATAATTATTTATCAGAATCCATATTAAATGTAAGACAAACACACCACTTAGGCACCACTAATAAATGTTCAAATCATGTAATCTTAAAGGGAATTTTAAAACTGAGAGCCTGATGGCCCTAAGAAAGCTGTAAAAAGTTAATGCATATTCATGTATTGCAATTCACCTAACAGATAATATTGGGAGTAAAGAATTTAAATAGGGGCTGGCATTGTGGCTCAGTGGGTAAAGCCTATGATGCCGGCATCCCAGATGGGCACCAGTTCGATTTCTGGCTGCTCTACTTCCCATCCAGCTTCCTGTTAATGGCCTGGGAGAGCAGCGGAAGATGAACCATGTGAGAGACCCGGATGAAGTTCCTGGCTGCAGCCTGGCCCAGCCCTGGCCATTGGAGCCATTTGGGGAGTGAACTAGTAGATGGAAGATCTTTCTCTCTCTCTGTAATTCTTGACTTATAAATGAATAAATAAATCTTTTTTAAAAGGTTTATCTATTTATTTGAAAGAGATACACAGAGAGAGGAGAGGCAGAGAGAGAGGTCTTCCATCTGCTCATTCCGCCCCCCCCCCTTTTTGGCCATAACGGCTGGAGCTGTGCCAATCTGAAGCAGAAGCCAGGAGCTTCTTGCAGGTCTCCCATGAGGGTGCAGGGGCCCAAGAACTTGGGCCATCTTCCACTGCTTTCCCAGGCCACAGCAGAGAGCTGGATCGGAAGTGGAGCAGCCAGAACTTGAACTGGTGCCCATATGGGATGCTGGTGCTGCAGGTGGCGGCTTTACCTGCTATGCCACAGCACCGGCCTCATAAATAAATCTTTAAAAAAAAAAAAGAATTTAAATAAGGCATTATGGTTGGAAGAGGAATGAAAACATACTTTAAAAGTGTAATGGACACAATGTACATTGATTGCAACTGTGGAGGAGAAATTTGTATTTTGAAGTCTAATATGGTGGTCTTTCATGTTTTAGACTATTTTTATTGCAATGGGCACATTTAAGAGAGATATAACATTTGTATTCATGAAGGTCAATATATACAATATACCCCAAACTATTTAAATTTGTGATTTATGAAAAAGTTCAGATGCCAACCTAAACACATGCAAGGCACATATATTTTGTTATTTATTTTTTAAAATTTTTTAAAGTTTTATTTTATTTATTTGAAAGGCAGAGTTATAGAGAGTAGATACAGAGGAGAGGTCCTCCATCCACTGGTTCACTCCCCAAATTGCTCCCAGCAACCGGGCCTGGGCCAGGCTGAAGCCAGGAGCTTCTTTCAGGTCTCCCACGTGGATGGCAGGGGCCCAAGCACTTGGGCCATCCTCTGATGCTTTCCCAGGCCATAGCAGCGAGCTGGATTGAAGTGGAGCAGCTGGGACTTAAACCAGCGCCCACATGGGATGCTGGCACTGCAGGCCAGGGCTTTAACCCGTTGCACCACAACTCTGGCCCTAGGCACATATATTTTATTTTATTTTTTTAAGATTTATTTATTTTATCTGAAAGGCAGAGTTACAGAGAAGCAGAGGCAGAGAGAGAGAGAGAGAGAGAGAGAGAGAGAGAGAGAAATCTTCCATCTGCTGGTTCACTCCCCAGAGCTGGAGCTGAGCCAATCCAAAGCCAGGAGCCTCTTCCGGGTCTCCCTCGTAGGGCACATATATTTTAAAAAAGTGTTTTGGAGCCCCTGGTGCAGGCCGTGGTGCTCTGGGGGTGGCAGCAGGGACCAGGAAGAGGGGCACAGGGACGGGGATGTTCCCAGGAGCCACCTTCTTCCTGCTGGCGGGGCTGTAGTGTCCACCACAGCGGGATGACTGCATACAGGGCAGAGGACAGGCTCTGTGCTGGGGCCCTTCCTGTCTGGCCAGTGCCAGCCACAGCGTGGGCACAGAGCAAGTTCTCAACGAGTGTTCAGCGCCCAGAAGAATGAGAGGCCGACAAGTACTGGGCACCCACTCAGTCATACTAAGGACGCCCCGCACAGGGCGCATCAGCCTCCCCATTTCAGACAGAGGGGTTCCGTCATCTGCCCAAGGTCAGGAAGCAGCAGACTGGGGCACAAGAATCCTGGCCGGGGCCCTTACCTGTGAAGCCTGCCACCCCCCAGGCCCCGGGCAGAGCCCACACTCGGGGCATGCCGCAGACGTGACGCCTTCACAGCCATTGAAACCGCTTTCTGCCGTCTGCCGGCTCCTCCCCAGCGGTTTTCCTTCTCTCCTCTCCGTTTAATATTTCAGTTGCCCACTTCCTGGGACATCCCGGGGACCCGTGTCGCTGACCTACTTACCTATCCAACCGTCTTTCTCACATCCTGGGCAGGGAACACAGCGGGGCTCTTTAAGGCAGCAAGGAGGGGGACAGAGCGGGGACACACGGGGGCTCTGCTGCTCAGCGCAGGCTCCTGCTGACACAGGCGGACATGAATAAAACCAGGTCAGCGGCGTCTGCCGGGAGACCACGACAGGGCAACGCTGATGCTCGTGTGGCTTTCCAAGAAAACAGCTTCCGGCCCTTCAGCCGCCCAAGGAACTCCCAAACTCCCCCGGTGTGTGTGCACCTGTGTGTGTGCGCGCACCTGTGCGCACACAGGGGCGCGCTTATCGGGCACTGTTTGTCTCTCCTGTTTATAAAAGGAACTGGGACATCGAAAGTGGCCTCTCCCCCTTAAGAGTGAAGACAACAGCTCCAAGCAGGCGCTCTGCTCCCTTAAGCTCCATAGCTCTCCGGCAGGCACGGCTTGGAGGGGCGGAGGACGGGCGGCACAGCTGTCCCCTCCCTCTTTACCAAGTGTCCAGGAGCCCTCCCAAGGCCAGCTGCTCCTGGTGGTCCCAGAGGCCCCATCCTACTGCCCAGACTTTCTCAGACCTAGACACAGGGACCTGGGGCTGTTTACCGTCCCTCTTTCCCAGTGTGTCCCCTCACCTGCTCCAGGGTGCCCAAGGCTCAAAGCCTCCCAGAGGCGCCACTGGCTGGAGAGGGGCGCGATGACGATCAGGGGTGAGAGGGGAGCTTCTTCATGAGTCTGTCCCTGGCTCGCAACACCCCAGGACCCCTGTGCCAGGCACTCACCCACCCTCAGCGCCACGTCACCGACATTGGGGAGCAAGGATCCAGAGAAGTAGCTCCAAGCAGCTCCAGCCGCTACCGGGGGCCACAAGACAGCACCGGTCTCTGCCTCCTCCCCTTGGCCCCTTCATTCCGGGATCTCACGGTGGCCCCTCGCCCTGGCTCCTGATCCTGTCCCTCGGCGCCCCTCGGCCTCACCCGACCCAGGTCCCCAGGGCGCAGAGGCGGCCCCTCCCCGCGGAGACGGTGGGGCGGGCGCAGAACCGCACCCCCCGCCCCCGCCCCGCGTCGGCCGTGACGTCAGAGCCGGACCCGCTAAACTGAGCAGCGGCGGCCGAGAGCGGGGCGGAGACTGCGACCAGGAGCCGCCGGCACGGACGGAGCCCACAGCGGCGCAGGCACGGAGGACACCTGCCGGCAGCTGCACCCGAACCCGAGGTACCGCGACCCTACCCTCTGTCCGCCGGACTCGGCAGGGAGGAGCGCGGGGCTGGGGGAAGACGAGGAGGGTTCCCCCCAAGGCGCCGCGCGCAGGGCTCCGGGGACTCCGGAGGCGCAGAGCGCACGGTGTGCGGGACCCCGCGGCGCGTTCCGAGCGCGCCGTGCGGGAGGCGGGAGCCTCTGGGCGGCGGGGAGCCGGCCAGCGGCTGTTGCTGGGTCCCCGACGGCGCGCAGCGGGTGCTGTTTCGCCGGCTCGCGGGCGCTCGTGGGCACGCGCTCGGGGCAGGTGCGCGCGGCTGCCCGACGGCCCTAGTGCGGCCGGCCACGTCGGAGCGGGCGCGGGAGGGTGTCCCCGCCGCGCCCACCCTCACCGCGCGCTGCGCCCCGCAGCCGCGCCGCGAAGCCATGGCCCTGAGCGAGCTGGCGCTGCTGCGCTGGCTGCGGGAGAGCCGCCGCTCGAGGAAGCTCATCTTGTTCATCGTGTTCCTGGCGCTGCTGCTAGACAACATGCTGCTCACCGTCGTGGGTACGTCCGCGCCCGCGCCCGGGGTCCCCTCCCGGCTCCCACTCCCTGGCGCGCAGAGAACCCACGCGTTGAGCAAAGCTCGGCCCCCGCGCACGGCCGCGCCCGGGCTCCGAGCAGCTGCATTGTGGCTTCGCTTTCCTGGTCACCAACGACGACATCCGATAAGACGCGGCGCGCGTGTTTCCTCCCGATAGCGCCCGGCTTCCCCTCGCCCACCCGCGCCGCGATGAGAAAGATTTCCAGGAGAGGAGCCTTTCTCAGAGGTCGGAACGGTGGGCGGGGGTGCTTTGGCTACCGGAACAGGTGGGACGCGTCGCCGTTCCGAGGTAGGAAAGGCAGGGAAGGAGTGACGTGGAGAGACGTCGTCATGGAGGGTGACACGACAGATTCGCCTCTGCGCTGCGGGAGCGGACCGGACCTCATGTTCTTTAGTCTTTTTCTTACGTGGAGGTCTGGGAAGTTCAATGCAAGTGGAAACCCCAAGTCTCTTAATTAGCCCAACCGAACAAGGGTGTGGTATGTTTTCCCCTAAGGGTAGCCTGGTGTTTAATGACTCCAGTCATTTAGGTTCCTCGCCACTTGCGCGTTCTCTCACAGCTGCGCTCACGGCCACAGTCCGGTTTTCAGATCCTGGATTATGGAGAGCTGTGAGGCTGGTTCGGGGTCTCCCTCGGGGTCTCGGTGCTCCTCTGTCCCCGGGTTGACCGCCTGAGGCTTCCCCTGTACTGAAGAGTTCACTTCTCCTTTGAGGGTCGTAGGAACCCTTCGGTGTGGGCTCCCGCTCAGGTGGCAGAGCTGAAGGGGACCTGTTCAGTCTCAAGATCCTAACTTCCTGCAGGTGCACTGGGTTTTTTCCACAGCGCCTAATGCAGTTGAGCTCTCTGTTGCATTAAACCATTGGGAAGTGTCTTGGGAGCCTCCTGGGGGAGCGTTGGTGACCCCAGGTCAGCCTTGACTTCATGCTGTTTCACTTTGCTGAAATATCCCTGGGAAGGGACACAAATGACAAACATCTCTGAGGTCATTTAAGTCGGCCCAGCCACCCGCCCTGGTAGCGAATGGCTGCCCAGGGCCTCTGGGGGGCTTGATTTCTCGTGGGAACTGAGCAGGGTGGCAGTGTGTGAGGCTGGGTCCGGTGCCTGGGGGGTGGGGGAAAGCACACCACCTCCCTGGGCCTGAGCTGGCGTCCGGCCCCTGAGCAGCTGTGCTGGTTTTGCCCAGGGAGGGTTTCAGGGTGCTCACCGCTTCCTGCCCTGCTCTTGTCTCCAGTCCCCATCATCCCCAGTTACTTGTACAGCCTTGAGCACGAGAATGCGACAGAGACCCAGACGGCCAGGCCCGTGCTCACGGCCTCCTCCCCAGGCCGCTTCCACAGCATCTTCTCCTACTACGACAACTCCACCATGGTCACAGGGAACGCCACCGGAGGCCTTCCGCAGGGGCAGCCACACCAGGCGTCCGCCACCACCCAGCGCCCGGTGACCAACGCATCTGCTGCCCCTGCCGACTGTCCCAGTGAAGACAAAGACCTCCTGAATGAGAATGTGCAAGTTGGCCTGCTGTTCGCCTCCAAAGCCAGCGTCCAGCTCATCACCAACCCTTTCATAGGGCTGCTGACCAACAGGTGGGTGCTGTGCTTGTCCCGAGGGTTCCTGTTGGTCCCCACTGCTGTCCCCCGCGGCAGTCCTGCTCAGTCCTTTCTAGAACCTGGAGGGCCCGGCTGGTCTCCTTCCCCCACGTCTCTGACCTCAGCTGATCACCATTTCTCGTGTGTTCTGTCTGTCCCTGCTCCCCTCTGTTGCTCAAATAAAATGATTAGCTTCTGTCTGCATGTGGGTTTCACCAGCGCCTTGGGCAGCCACTGTGGCCATTGCTGGGTGTCTGCCATACAGCTTCCTCTCATCTGACCCCTTTGGGCACACACTTTGTTCTAGGATGAGTGGTTTCTCTCAGAGAGCCTGGGTTGTGCTGGTCCCCTTCCACTGCACAAGGGCAGAGAACGGGGGCTGTGGTCTGGGGCACGCAGGCTGCCCGGGGCAGCCCTGTGGTAACCTGGGTGTCATGGAGTCTTTTGGGCCCTCCCTTCTCTATCGCTGGTGACTGTCCAGTCAGTGTGTGTCCTACAGCTGAGACAGCCCAGTTTTACCTGGTAAGGTAAAACCCCTGCAGGACAAGGGGCAGGCAGTCCTGGTGGGGCTGAGCGAATGGTGGTGGCTGCCGTGTGCCGGCTTACAGAAGCGGTAGACGGGGAAGTGCCCAAAGGCCAAGCTGTGAGCCGGGCTCTGAGTGGCATCAGCGTGAGCACAGGGGGCCGAAGACAGGAGGAGGTGGGAGAGGAACTGAGGAGGGCAGGGCTGGGAGGACTGGAGATCCTACCAGAGGGCAGTCGGGAGCCCTCGGAGATGGCTAAGCCAGAGGCTGGCATTTGGCATTGTAAGACACTGCTTGGAACATCGCGTCTCATACTGTGTTCCGAGTCCCGTCTCTGATGCTGACTCCAGCTGCCTGCTAATGTGCACCCTGGGAGGCGCGGGTGAGGGATTGAGTACCTGGGTCTCTGCCACCGACATGAGAGACTCCGGTTGAGTTCCTGGCTTCAGCCTCACCCAGCCCTGATTGCTGCAGGAGAGTGAACCAGTGCGTGGGAGAGCTCTGTCTCTCTCCAATCACAGATTTTTTTTTTCCCAAAGAAAGTGATTCCAAAGCCAAACTGAAGAGCAAGTGAGCTAAGCTAAGGTAGGGGAGGAGGGATGGTTTCATGATTTGCGGGGCCCGATGTAAGGTGAACATGAGAGCCCCTGGTTCAGATATCGGGCGTTTTAAGATGCAGCAACAGAGCATGAAGGCAACTCGGGGCGCCCTGTGCAATCCTGGGCTTGGGGTCTGGGAGCTGAGGAGCCCTGGCAGGGGCTCCGAGGGGTCAGCTGCCCACGGTGGGAGCAGCTCAGGCACACGGAGGTTGCTGCTGCTGAATCGTAGTGAGGTGCTCGGGAGTGCCGTTGGATTTTCAAATCATTTTTAAGAATCTCAAGCCCTGTCCAGCCCTCCAGCCTGTGCAGAGCCGTATTATAAGATCCTCAGCAGATTAGCCCAGCCACAGGCTCATTGTGAGACCCCCAAGAAGCGCCATTATCCAGGTGACACTCAGGGGCTCGTGTCTTCCCCAGGAGGAAAACCAAACAGATGCGAGCGGTTGCAGGATTGTGTTCTGTCTTATTTAACACCAAGCGCGCGTCTAAAATGCATCTGGTATAATTACAGAAAACGGCTCAGGGTTTTGTATTCTGAGAGAGCAAATACTGGATGTGAAAATTGAGGACATTATCGTAATAGTGCCTTGCCAATCACTTGGGCAGGCACGTGAGTAGCCGTACAGTGGGATACTTAGAAGCCTGGCTGAAATGATGCGAGTAGTCTAATCTTCCAAATGCAAATGACAAATGAAAAACCTTTTAAAAATCCCATTCTCGTGTTTAATGACTTGCTAGGCTATCGGGGGAGAAGCTTGTTTAAAAGCGCAGAGGGCTCTCCCCTATTAAATACTGCACGTGCTTTGAGGCTGCAGCTACCCAGGGCTCTTGTTGGGAGGTTCCCAAAACACTGTCTTCCACGAGAAACCTAATTTTGTTTCCTGCATTGCGAAATGTAGTCTCTTCTTCCCACGAGTTCCCACTTTGATCTGGAGCAAAAATTCAGTCCCTAACTGACTCCCCCAGCGACCCTGCACATTTAAAAATGACCTTGGTCTTGATGTGCTGCCTGGTCATGTGGACGTGCAAGCAGGTTCTAATATCGACCTTGGCAAAACGATCGAGTGAACTCTGTCGTGCCTTAAAATGATAGTGATTTGTAGCTCTTCTATTTCTCAAGCCCTGGGGACATGAAACTGGGGACTGGCTGCTCTGCTTGGCTTCAAGACTTGGCTCTCCCTGCCCTGCCCTCACCCCCCCCCCCCGAAGTTCAGATGGGAACTGACAGAAAGGGACAAATACATCCCACTGTCCCCGGGAGCTGCTGCACACCGTCTTTGGATGTAATTTGCACCAATCACCCTCAATTACTAACAAGAAGGAATGACGTGTGTTGTCAGTGTTGTAAGCAGGTGTTTCTAACAGCCTTTTAGATGTGGTGAATATGTTTCCGATGAGGGAGTCACTAAAACTCTATGTAACTCACCTTGGCGATGTCAAACCAGTGGTTCCTCTGTAGAGACATCGGAAAGTTCACAGTAAATGGATTTAAAGGGTGAGTTTGGGGGCAGACATTTTTGAAGTCCATGCAGTTTTTTCCTAATGCGCATATTCCATGAACTTTTTGAAGCCTCCTGTGCGTTCTTGGTGAGAGCGTTGTTAACAGCGCAGGGTGTTGGAGCCCGCAGGGCCAGTCCATGTACCTTCCAGGTGCAGGTGTTTGCAACACAGGCGGAGTCCTGTCTCCACTTCTCATTCTCTCCAGCTGCTCCCTGTTAGCACAGTTTGTGCCCTTAGCTGTTAAAGAATGTGAGAGAAATCTTCCATCTGCTGGTTCACTCCTCACTTGGCTGTGCTGATCCAAAGCCAGGAGCTTCTTCCAGGTCTCCCACGCAGGTGCAGGGGCCCTAGGGCTTGGGCCATCTTCTGCCTTCCCAGGCCATAGCAGAGAGCTGGATCAGAAGTGGTGCAGCCGGGACTTGAACTGGCGCCCATATGGGATGCCGGCACTGCAGGCGGCATCTTACCCGCTATACCACAGCGCCGGCCCCCAGATTGCTTTTCTAAATCAGCAGGGAAGTTAGAAAGCAATCAGATGGATTCCTAGCGCGTGGACCCTCGCGGCCCCAGAAAACAAAATCTTGCCAGCTTTTGACATGAGCTGCTCCAGCGTGGCTCTCGCCATGCCCCTGCCCCACGTCAGGCTGCTGCAGCCCCTTGTCTTAATTTAAGTGGGACCCTCTCTGAAATGAGTCGCCCCACGCCTGTGTTCATGGCCGTGATGGTGCTCCGTGCCCCGGAAGCAGGAAGGAAGGCTGCTTTTCTAAGATTCAGATAAGATCTGGTGCCAAACCCTGAAAAGACAAAGCAGCAGTTTGTGGGAAGGCTGGACATGTTGGCGTGGCTGTAATAGGTCTGCGTTAGTCTTCACCACACTTCTCTGTAAGAAGTGGTAGCGGGTGTTGAAGTAACGACAGCTGTCATGATTTGAGCCCGTGAGTGAGGTGTGTGAAAAAGCAATGTTCTAGGCACACGAATGGTGTGAAAACTCCTTTGTGTTTCTCTGCTGTGCAAGCCAGGTACAGATGTCACGTCGTTAGCTTCACCTGCTTAGCATGAAGCAGATGCAGTGCGTGCGTCTTTAGGGCCGGAAGATCTGGCAAACCCATCGGGAGAGGAGCCCCTTGCTGGGGGCCGTCTCCCTGGGCTTCTTCCTTGACTGCAGCGAGGTCTCGGTGGTCTGCTCTTTGTCAAGCCAGTGGCAGTGGCTTAATTTATTTCCATAGTTACCTAGTATATTTCAGAGCGGCTATTTTCCCTGGCACATCTTAGCTTCCATCCCAAGGGCAAGGAGGAAGCCACAGGGCATGAAAAAATCTCTGGGAAATCGACTGTGGTTATTTTCTACCCCCAGTGGCAGCCAGTCGGCCAGAAGTGGGCTTGGTAGGAATTGGCCATGACCTTTGCAGCTCCCGTGGGGTGAGGAAACCAGCGGTTCTGGAGAGGGATCTCCCACTCTCGACTGTGGATGATGTGAGGATGGCGGGGGGTGGGGGCGGGGGCTGATAGAGTCTCTGCTTCTGCGGCGGGAAGAAGTTGCCAGTGGAGCTAGAATGTTCCTCATGGCATTGTGGGAACCAGGGGAAGAGGGCTCGCCCCGGGGAGTAAGGAGCCGGCGTGACCCCCTGCGTGGATCCACTGGCTGCGGAAGGCAGGCAGACCCCAGGGCCAGCCCTGAGAATTTAGTTGCTTAAGTGACAGATGTCGTTTTCTCCTTGAGCAAATTTGGAATTGCCTTCTGTTTGCCGACATTGAGGAGCGTGCTGAGGCCACTGGGAGGGGGACATTCCCTCGCCTCTGGTGTCACTTTGCACCTTGCAGAGTCATTACTCTGTGTCTTTGGCACGTGCCCTGGTAGAGGACACGTAGCTCCTGGCCAGCCTGAGAGAGCAGCTGTCGGACAGGGAGGAGCCTGTGTTAGTGTCTGTGGCTGGGAGAAACTTCCTGGTGTTGGGAGAGAAAGGGCAGCTCATCAGTGACCCCAGGGGACGCGTAAGCAGCAGAACTTTTGTTGGTTTACGCATTTTTCTAGGGATTTCAAATGTGATTTTAACTCTCGTTCTAACTGGATTCACTGCCAGGGGGCAGTGAATTGTCCGATGGCCGTGGGCTGGGATGACTCACGGAGATCCTCATGGGACCTTTGGTTAAAGGTTTGCTGAATCTGGTCTAGCTCTGCTGAGCAGCACTTTAATTAAGATGGCATCGGATTGAGACGAGGGTTCTGACACAGATGTTTATGACTAATATCAGTTACGTTTCCGTCCGTTTTGGAGACATTGGAAGGAAGAGGGCCTGTATGTTCTGCCCACTGCTCGGTGGCCCTGGGGCACTGCACAGCCCTCCTACATGGGTGTTCAGAGGGCCAGAGGAGGCTGAGGGTGGCGGTCTGGGTCCAGGGACGTCCCTGCTGCCTGCGGTGAGTTCCTCACCAAGCTCCAGGAACGATGCTGCCTGGTGCTAACCACTGGGCAGCCCTGCTGGCCGCTTGACCTGTACTGAAGGTGCAGGAGAGGGTGGCAGCCCCAGCCCTTGGCCTGCTCTGAGCTGCGCCGTCCCCAGACCTCCGCTTTCTCGTGGACCTTTGGGTTTCCTTCCAGCCTCGCTCCCAGTTATTACCCCCGTGTGCTTTCAGAAAATGCCAAAGGAATTAAAGCAGTAGCAAGCCCAGTGTCTGGTGTGCTAAGGGCCTAGCCCGTGGCTTCCAGTGAGACGGTGCCCGCTGGGCCCGCTGGCCGTCGGGGACCTCCGCCCTGTGGTTGGCAGCTGCCCCCGAGTGGACACCAGCGGGGCCTGAAGCACGTGAAACACGGCGTGCTCCTCACCATGAATTTGGGGCAAACTCTCTACATTCCCCGAGCCTCAGGGGTGGCTGTGTGAAAACAGGGGCAAAGCCAGCTCCTCCCAGGATGCTGGCTGCTCAGGAAGGCGGAGGCGGCGGAAGCTGTCCTTCGAGGGCCCCCACCCTGTCATTCCCAGTCTTTGGCCCCGGGGAACGTGGTAAAGTTTGAGTGGAGTGCCCTGGGCAGGCGGGCGTGCCCGGGTGCGCTTGGCCTGTAGACCTCTGCCTGGTCTCTTTCTTCATGCCTCGGGCTCCTCCTCTGTGAAATGGGGAGGTGATCATTGCCCTCCAGCAAATCGGGGAGCTGCTGGTGCAAGAGCTTGGAGACCTGAGTGTGACCTTCAAATGAAGGTGTTCATGGTTCTGACTTGAGGCGCTGCCTGGGCCCTGGGACACTCAAGCAGTTGGCCCTCGTAGCTTCGTTGGCTCCTCCCTCTCCAGGTTCCTGAGGGAGGGTGCACGGAGCCTGGAACTGCTATGGGCTGTTGTGGGTGGGATCCACCTACTACAGGTGTTGGCATCCTTCTCCGGGCAGGCGGCCAGGGAGCTGCGTGTCAGAGACCCAGCTACTTAATCCAGGAGGAGGAGGAGGGAGGAAGTTGTGTGTCTTTAAAAAAAAATGAGAAAGGCAGAGCACTGAGAGAGAGGAAGGTGGAGAGATCTTCCCTCTGTTGGTTCACTCCCCAAGTGGCTAAAACAGCCATGACTGGACCAGGCCGAAGCCAGGAGCCTGGAATTCTGTCTGGGTGTGTGTCAGGGCTCCAAGCACTTGGGCCATCTGCTGCTGCTTTCCCAGGTACATGAGCAGGGAGTTGGATCGGAAATGGAGCAGCCGGGACTTGAACTGTCAGCGTTCTGATCTGGGATGCCGGCATTGCAACCTGCCGTGCCACCATGCCTGCCCCAGGGAGTGACATTTCTAAAGCACCAAAGCACTGCCTATGCCCTGGGCGCTCTGGTGGGTGGACAGCTTGACACGCGTGTCTTCCCTTCTGCCAGTGTGGGGAGTGGGGCGTGGTCTCTCCATGGGCCTGAGAGAAGACTCTGCTGGGTTAAGTGGCAGGGCCAGGAGTCCAGCCTGATGTGGGACATGGGAAAGCCCGGGCCCTCCCTCTGCCTCTGCCCGTCTGGTGCCTGAGCCCCTTGTCTGATAGTGCACCTGCCCAGCAAATTGGATTTTGAATTTTTTGCACAGCAAGCGAGGCCCCGTTTTCTAGGCAGGGCTCGCCAGGGCCTCCAGGAAGCAGATCTGCAGTGTTGCTTCCTAATGCCCCTAAGACGCGGCACGGTTGTCTTTGAGTCACTTGGTGGCCTTTATCAGCATCGCTTGGTTGCAGCTGTCTCTTTGGGGAAGCTCTGGCAAAGACTATCATGAAGGGAATTTGTATTTTTTAATGACAGAGTAGGGGCCGTGTATTTGTGTTCCGGCCTCCTTGCCAATAACGTGTTAACATTGCTTGCAGCTCCATTTCTCTTCGGAGTGCCCGTCCGCAAATGTATTCATGTTCCGAGACAGTCAAACACAGAAAGGTCACGTAGGAAGCACTGAGTAGATGAATTTTGAGAATAGCCGACCTAACACTTGTTCACTTGATCCCAGGGGGTGCCGGGGGAGAATCGGTCTAAGCCTTAGGAAAACACCCGCAGTCACCAGGTGTTCCGGCTTGTGTTTTGCAGAATCGGCTATCCCATCCCCATGTTTGCGGGGTTCTGCATCATGTTTATCTCAACGATCAGTAAGTGTGCAACATCTCCCTCCCCGATGCGGCCACCTGTGGGCTGACTTGAAGGACACAGCCTGGGGGTGTTGGGAGTGACAGTCGCTGGAAGGAGCGCGTGGGGAGGGGGCTGGGGGGGGGGTCTCCAGCAGTGCCCCCGCGGGCTGGCGCTGATGCAGGCCTGGGCTCTTGTCCCGGCAGTGTTCGCCTTCTCCAGCAGCTACGCCTTCCTGCTCATCGCCAGGTCGCTGCAGGGTGTCGGCTCCTCCTGCTCGTCCGTGGCTGGTAGGTGTGGAAGCACCTGTGGGGGGAGGTGGGGGGTGCAGGGGTGGGTGTGGGGGGAGAGTGCCCCTGGTAACCCCGCTGGGCCCATTCCAGGTATTGGCCTGGTGGTGCAGATTCCCGGGGAAGCCGTGCACTCTCCCCTTAGGTCCTGGTTGGCTTCCATGGCAGGTTTGGGAAGACTGGAAGTCTGTGGGAGGGGAAGGCCAGGCACGGCCACTGTCTTGGTGCGCCCCAGAGCCGGACTGCCACCATCTCTTTCCCCGTTCAGGGATGGGCATGCTTGCCAGTGTGTACACAGATGACGAGGAGCGAGGCAACGCCATGGGGATCGCCTTGGGAGGCCTGGCCATGGGGGTCTTAGGTGGGTATGGGCCCCATGCAGGCAGCAGGGGACTGTCTGGTGCTGGACCTCAGCCAGCACCCCAGGCCCGGTGGGACCAAGGCTGCTTTCACATGGACAGACTGCCCAGCACCTTCCTTTGGTTGGGAAAGGGTGGGACGAGCCCTGAGCTGGGAGGACCTGGGCTTCCTCGCTCCCTGTCCCAGATCTCCCCAGACCCAGGTGTAGACATGAGGATGGAGTGGAATGGTGCACCAGACGTTTCTCTCTGGAACGTTCTGTGAGTTACAACCAGAGAGACATCCGCCTTCCGCTTCTGCCTCCCCCTCCTGCCCTGCCGGGGGACAGCTATCTCCCTGGCCGGGGGCTCGGCTCTTGTCCCCTCCGCTTGTTTGCTCCCAGCCCTCGTTTGGAGCCCGCAGTTTTGCACACACTGGTTTGTGAGCAGGGATGTCCTTGTCGCGCTGTGCTACACAGGCGGCACAGCCCCGTGACCAGGCTCTCACTTCCCTCGATCTTAGCTTTTGGGGTGACTCCAGCCTGTTCGTTCTTGGGGAGTTGCTCAGGCACCTTGACACTAAAGGGAACCTAGGGCCACCACCCCCAACTGTTTTGAAGCCAAGCAGAGAACCACAGGGGACAACAGATGATTCTGGGGGGTGGGGGCCACGCTAGGTGCCGGCGCCAGCCCCTCTCTCGTCCTCGCAGTGGGCCCCCCCTTTGGGAGCGTGCTGTACGAGTTTGTGGGGAAGACGGCTCCCTTCCTGGTGCTGGCTGCCTTGGTGCTCTTGGATGGAGGTGAGTAAGGCCCTGTGGGCACCTTGGCCGTGACCCTGGCATCCCTGCCGGCTGTGCCAGGGCCATGGCCACTGTCTGACTGGGGGCCGTCTTCTCTCCTTGCAGCCATTCAGCTCTTCGTGCTGCAGCCGTCCCGCGTGCAGCCAGAGGTAAGCGGTGGGGGGAAGATGGCCTAGTGGCGGCCACAGCCCTGGTGACTCGGCTGACACCCGCTTTTGCTTGACAGAGTCAGAAGGGGACGCCCCTCACCACTCTGCTGAAGGACCCGTACATCCTCATCGCCGCAGGTGGGCCGCTCTGCTTCTGCTTGGTCACGGCTGTGCTTGGGAGGAGGGGTGGGTGGCAGGGTCGCTGTTCATTTTGCTGGGGAACGTGGCTGGGGACATCCTAGCCTGAGAAAGCCGTAAGCTGCAGGAAGCCGTGTCTCCCAAAGCTCAGCCAAGGTCTTTGTTTTTCATTTGTTTTTGGGGCCTGCCAAGTGCTTGCATAGGCTACAGAGATGCTACTCCCCGCGAAGGCCGTCATTGTTTGGCCTGGAACTTTCTGGAAGAGGTCTGCCTTCTCACTCAGGCTGAGGTGCGCAGACTGACCTTGGCTGTGTCAGAGACTGGCAGCAGAGACCCAGAGTGCGGACTGGGCGCCTCTTCCCGCGGAGAGCGCTTCCCTGTACCGCAGCCAGGGGGCGCTGGAAACCCCTTGGGTCCAAGGCCCAGGTGGCTAAAAGAAAGCCCTGGGGTTCTGGGGAGGGGTCATGGGCTGCATGCTTCCGAGGGACTGCCCCCTCCGATGGCCCAGTCGCAAGCCGGCGGCCTCCCCGCCAGGCCGGGGCTGCCTGTGAGGGACCAGCCTTGTGCAGCTGCTGCCCGGGGCCTGGTGGCTGACGTCAGCAGCCACCCTGTGCTCTGGGTCTGGGAGGAAGAGACGTGCTGCTGCCTGGGGCCGCTCTGCAGACCTGGCGAGGGTGACATTTGCCTAAGCAGGGCTCACACTGGGAGGCCTGGAGGGGGTCTGGGAGAGGCGGTGCCTGCCCGTACTGTTTGCAAAGCAAAGCCCTAGGCTGGTTTTGTGGACCCCTTCTGGTCAGGGTGGAACGCAGGGGACCATGGCCCAGCTGCTGCCCCTCGTACTTACCGGTCAGAGTACCAGAAACCCGGTGCCCAGATCTCTCCGTGCTGGATGCACAGATCCCCTGGGGCCTGGCCGTCTGTGTTGGGGATGTGGAGGGTGTGTGTGTGGGGGGGCACAGATGTGACACTCCCCGCCCCCAACCCTAAGGTTCTTTCTCTTGGAAGCTCACTGCCCGATCCCTAGTCATGCAGGAAGTCGAGAGATCCACCCAGCACTGCTGGGCCTTGCACAGTGCCAGGCAGCCCTGGTGGGGGTGGGGGGAGTTAGAGCACGGGGAGTGGGAGGAGCCCAGTCATTTGTGTGTTCTGCTCTAAATGTCACAGGGAATGAAAGAAATCCTGTGTCAGGATGCACGTACCTGCTTCACGATTGCACAGTGTTCTTTGGGTTTGTTCTAGCAAATTACAGGTTCCACAGGCGCAGCTACGCAGGAAGCTCGCAGAGCGAGGGAGACGGTTCCGGGTGTTTTTTCCCATGTGCTTCTGTATTTACAAAGGGTCCTGGGTAACAGTGATAATGAGTGTGTGCACAGATACCCTACCTGTGCAGCTGACTTTACACCAACCTTCCACAGTGCACCTATGCTGAACACAGGGGGTCCTCCTGGGACTTCTGGCATCTCGGGGCATCATGAGAAATGTCCATGGGCATCGCACAGCAGAACACCTGCAAGAGCCTTCGGTTGCCCGAGACAGGAGACAGGGTGTGGTCAGGAAGCTGCCTGGCTGCCGAGCGGCCTCAAGTTACTTTGTGAATAAATTGGAGCTCCCTTCTTTCATCAACAAACTGGGTGGTGATTGCTGGGGCTCCCTCAGTTCCCAGGATTCTGTTTACCATCATGAATGGTGGTCGCCCCTCCCTACCCACTTGACTTGCAGGTCATCTCTCTCTCAAGCAGGAGTGGTTCTGGCCGCCCAGGCTGGGGGCTTGGGGTCTCCCTGGATACAGCAGGGACTCCGTGTGGAAGCAGAGACTCTAACCTCTTCCTCCCTTAAAGGCGCCATCTGCTTTGCAAACATGGGGATCGCCATGCTGGAGCCGGCCCTGCCTATCTGGATGATGGAGACCATGTGTTCCCGGAAGTGGCAGCTGGGTAAGGCCCCCGCGGCTCTTCTGATTCTAGAACTTTTCATGCCGGGATGATGGAGTGAGTGCTCTGCTGGACTCTGGAAGGGGCCAGTGCCTTGGGTAGCACTGGGGTGGTCTGTCCCTGTGCTGGTTTTACATCATGCCTGGTAGATGTGTCCTCTAGATGAGAAGGGGACAGTACATTGATTATATTCACATAACCTTTTTTGGTCATCATTGTTCTGTTTATTTATTTATTTATTTTTTTAACAGGCAGAGTGGACAGTGAGAGAGAGAGAGAGAGAGACAGAAAGGTCTTCCTTTGCCGTTGGTTCACCCTCCAATGGCCACCGCGGCCTGTGCGCTGCGGCCGGTGCACCGCGCTGATCTGAAGGCAGGAGCCAGGTACTTATCCTGGTCTCCCATCGGGTGCAGGGTCCAAGCACTTGGGCCATCCTCCACTGCACTCCCGGGCCACAGCAGAGAGCTGGCCTGGAAGAGGGGCAACCGGGACAGAATCCGGCGCCCCGACCGGGACTAGAACCCGGTGTGCGGAGGATTAGCCTAGTGAGCCGCGGCGCCGGCTCTGTTATTGTTAACCTCTTCCTGTGCCTAATTTATAGACTAACCTTTATCACGGACATGTATGTGTAGGGAAAAAAAAACCAGTCTACGTAGGGTTTGATGCTGTCCTCAGGTTCAGACACCCACTGGAGACTTGAAATATAGCCCCTGGGAACAGGGTGGGGGACTGCTGTAATCGTGTTACAGTTTCTGTTAGACTGGGTTCAGCGTTGATGCTTGTGTGACTTGCAAATACTGTTCCAAGCTGAGGTGTGTAGGGGACTGTGATGCAGTTCCTTTCTTTTTACAACTTGTTTTTCCTGGAGTTAGCATTGCCTTGCTTTTTCATTTTCTTCCTTTTCCATGTGACGTTTGTGAGTCCATCCCCCAGCCCCTGTGGCAGAGATGAAAGGGCCCCTCAGCACAGTCAGGCGCGTCCCCGAAGCTTCTGGGTCTTCACTTGTTTGCGGGTGTGGTCCTGGCTTCTCCACTGTAGGCCTGCTGCTTTGCCGGGACTTCCTCCCTCATCACCTGGGCGTCGTCTTAGCCTCTCGTGCATCTCCGTGTCCTTGTCCCCTGGGGCCTCTCTCAGCCCCTCGTGCATCTCCGTGTCCTTGTCCCCTGGGTCCTCCCTCAGCCCCTCGTGCATCTCTGTGTCCTTGTCCCCTGGGGCCTCTCTCAGGCCCTCGTGCATCTCCGTGTCCTTGTCCCCTGGGGCCTCTCTTGGGTTTGCTCCCGCGTTGTGGTAGAGCATAACCTACAGCAGCTTTCTGAAGGAGGGTGTGTGGCAGGCGAGGTGACAGTCCGCGTGTGGGATTCCTGGTTGGCAGTGACTCCGCGTGTGGGATTCCTGGTTGGGAGTGACTCCGCGTGTGGGATTCCTGGTTGGCAGCGACTCCGCGTGTGGGATTCCTGGTTGGCAGCGACTCCGCGTGTGGGATTCCTGGTTGGGAGTGACTTCCCACTGGCGTTTGGAGCTGGAATTCTGTTGCTGTGTAGCACCCAGCGCTGCAGTCGGAGACCGGTGTGGTTTCCTTCCTGCTCCCCAGGTCTGAGAAATTGTGTGCAACCCGACGCTCCCACCCGTTTGCGAGAACTCTCTCCAGCAGGTTATATGTCGGACCTCTAGATCTCATTCTTCTAGTTTATCTTGTCTTTTGCTTTGTACCTTCATCTTTTAAACTATTGGATTTTGAGAATTGGTGCTATCATGTCTTAAACTTGAAGAGTCCTTTTTCCATATACCTGGAGTGGTTTAAGTTTTAAATTTTTCTTGACAATGAAACAGTCTCTTATTTGGCAGGAAGGCTCTTGTTCAGTTTCGGTTTTCAGCTTCTCCTGTTGCCTCTGGCTTCCAGACTGCCTGGGGTTCCAGGGTCCCTAAACCACTCAAACTGTCCCCTGTGGGGTGACGGCAGGAGGACTGCTCGGAGGGAGAGGCGATCCCGTCCCTGTCCCCGCCTTCCTCCCTGAGTTCCCTGGGTTATGGGGCCAGAGTGTCCCTTCTCACGGAGCTCCCCACGCACGGCGGAACATTCCGGCCCTCTGCTGCGTCCCTCACTGTCCCCTGCTTGCTTCTCCCTGTCACCGCTGTGTCTCCTCTTCTGTCTGTCCTAAGGTGATGTGTACGGGGAAGAGGGGGGAGGGGCATCTAGAATTTTCTTTTATTCATTGACTAATATTTACATGTTTGGCATTCAGTGTTGTTACTGTGACTGTAAAGATTGTTCCAGGCTGAGGTGTGCGAATGTGACCTTATCATTACTGTTGTTATTTATTTTGAGGGGTGAGAGACAGACAGGTGTGCTGAGAGCGCACCCATCTGCTCGTGCATTCCCCGGATGACTGGGCTGGCCGGGGCTGTAGCCAGACACCGGCCATGCAGTGCAGGCCTTCCACGTGGGTGGCGGGAATGCAGCTACGTGAGCCGTCACTGTGGCCTGCTCGGGGTTTGTATCAGGGAACTGGAGTCGGGAATCGACCTGGCGCGCTGCGGCAGAGTGTAGGTGTCTTAGCCACTGGACTGCATACGCGCGATGACCCCAGATTCCTTACCGATGAATTTGGGCCATTTTCCTTTGGAGTTGTTTGCTCTTAGAATTTTAACTGTTCCTAGTGGACGAAGATCCTGGTCCTTGTCAGAGGTTTCACCGATATGGCCCTCACTTCATTGCATGTCTTGGACTTCGTGGGTGCTGTTTTTTTCTACTTGGAACATTCAACATGCCACTCTTAAGAGTTCGCAGTCTTCACTTTTGTGTCATTGTCGCTTCAAAGCCTTTCCCACGCCAAAATTACCTACTAAAAAAAAAAAACATGCTTTTCTCTAATACTCATGTGATTTTTTACATTAACATAGTGGCCTTCTAAGGCATTTATTCTGGTACACGCACGGCTCGCGACCAGGGTGCGGTGTGTCGTCTGTGTGGTCAGCTTGTTGTCCAGGCTGTGGTCCCCTGACTTCTCCTGTCTGCAGCAGCCTCGCGCTGGCCGTGTGTTCTCGGCTGTCTTTCTGGATCCTTCCATTCTGTTGATCTGCTTGCCAATCCCTGGGTCAGTCCCCGCCACCTCCCTAATCATAGTAGCTTTCAATGCTGTTTAATATCTCTAAGACCAATCCTTCATATGTAGCTCTTTATGACCCTAATGATTATTCTTCCGAGAGATTTCTTTTCGTAGTTCCTCCATCACACAGGTGGACATCTTTAGGTGGAGCCCCAGTCCTGAGCGAAGGCAGGTGGCTCTGTTTTTCTCGGGCCTCAGGTCCCCGGTGGAGTGGGGTGGGGAGACACTGCCTCCTGTTGTAGACTTTCCCTGCCCTGCCTGCCTCGGGCCGGCATTGAGTTGTGTTTTCAGCCCTGAAAAAGCTCCGCCTGGCTTGGGGCAGGGACTGGTCGCGGGTCGGAGGACTGTGTTCAGGAATCAGAGTCAGGATGGTCGTGTGACCTTATGTACACACTAGACCTTATGAAAAGGTGGATTTTAGAGTGTGAGTTGTAGCACACGAGAAAACCAAAACAAGCCCCACATAATGGGAGTTATTTGGTGACGGAGGAAGGACTTTTGGAGCTAAGTTAAGGACAGGCAGACTTGCTGCTCCGAGCTCCCGGGGCCGAGAGGAGACCACCTGCAGGGGCTGGCGTTGCAGCAGGGGGAGTTGCTACTTGGGACGCCCCAGTCCACATTGGAGCGCTGGGAGTGAGTCCTGGCCACTCAGCTTCCAGCTCAGCTTCCTGCTGATGTACGCCCTAGGAGGCTGTAGGGGATGGCGCAAGTGTTCGGGACCCTGCTACCTTGGTTGGAGACCCAGATAGAATTCCTGGCTCCTGGCTTTAACCTGGCCCAGCCCCAGCTATTGCAGGCATTTGGGGAGTGAGCTAGCGGATGGAAGATCTTTTTTTCTCCCTCTCTTGTTCTGCCTTTTCCATTAGAAAAAGAGGAGCCCTTCAGAGCTCCCAGAGCAAGCGGGCCACTTGGCGGGGGTTGGGGGGACATCCTTCCAAAGCTGGGTGAGCACCCGCGAGCTTTGCAGAGGACAAGGACACCGTGTCGCCTTGTCGCCAGTGCTCATGCAGTGCCTTCCAGCTTTGCCTTCCCTCTGATCCTGGTGGCAGCCTGAGCGGCAGGTGTTCTGGGGAGGGGCCCCCATCCAGTGGGAGTGGGGGATGTGCAGAGCCGCCTGAGTGGAGCCCCTGCCTTTGCTTTGCAAGTGCTCTTGGGCAGACACTGCTTCGATGCTTCCGCTGTCCCTGCCTGACCGACTTATGATCCTAATTGAATGTGTCCTAGCCGTGCCGGGGCACTTAGCTGCTGTGCTCTCGGCCTCGCCAGACAAAGCCCGAGGCTCTTCCTATAAAGTCTTTAAGGTCAGTCAGAAGGCCAGGGCCATCCGGTGAGATAGCCGAGCGCAGGCTGCCTGTGTGTCACCGGGAGAGGCCTCGTGGCTTTGTCGCTGAGCGAGATGCTCGGGATTGGACCAACCGGACCGGTGCACTGCCCGTTGCCTCCAAGACACACTTGCCTTTCGACAAGAGAATCTCACTTGTGCATCTGCTCCGGGATGCGCTCCTTTGTGTGGTCCCTGCAGCTGGCAGCTCTCAAACCCTGGGCCTGGGGATGGTGAGTGTGGAGGAGCCAGTGCCGAGGGCCGGGCAGCCCCACGGCTGTACAGGGACCACCTGCCTTTCTGCTCCCCTCACTGTCCCTGGAGAAGCGCCCTCACATCAGAGGTCAGAGCAGAACATTATTATTTGCACCATGGATGACACGCGATTGCTCCTGTGGGCGTGGGTTTCGGGGCAGAGACAGACGGCAGCGCGTGCTCACTCCCGAAGGCCCTCTCACGAGTCTGCCCATGCGTGGAAGCTCTGGGTTTGGGCAGGTGGAGAGAGCATCTTTTCTCTGAACCTCAAGTTCTAGGTCTGGACCTTTCCCAGACAGCTGGAGACCCAGGAGGCAGAGCCGGAGTCCAGGGGGAGGTTTGTAGGCCCCAGAAGCAAAGCGTAGGCCCTGGGGAAGAGGCCCCAGGGCAGGCTGGAGCCAGTCTTTGTTCTGGCTCTTCTGGCCCATTTGTCTATGAGATGTGGCACAGTGAGGGTGGACCCAGGGACCCTGGCTGCGGGGCGGGACCCGCTATGCTCTGGCCAGCTGTCACCTCGGGCTGGTCCCACGCAGCCCCGCTGGGCCCCAACATGCAAGGAGCTTGCCAGCATCCTGTGGCTCTGGGCTGTGTGACTCTCAGTCCCCCGAACCTCCTGTGGGGTGGGGCAGCGTGAGGCCATCGCCCCGCCCTTGTTCCAGGCCCTTGGGGACCCTCAGTCACAGCTGTGGCTGAGCAGGCTTCTCCCCTGGGTGTGTCAGAGGCTGGGGTTGAAGCCCAGGTTTATTAATTTTTTTAAAGATTTCTTATTTGGAAGGCAGAGCCACAGAGAGAGGGGGAGGGGAGGGATGATGGAGGGATCCTCCATCCGCTGGGTCACCCCCCAAATGGCTGGGTCAGGCTGTAAGCCAGGAGCCTCCTCCAGGTCTCCCGTGTGGGTGTGGGGTCCGAGCGCTTGGGCCTTCCTCTGCTGCTTTCCCAGACACATTATCCAAAAAGGAGCTGGATCAGAAGCAGAGCAGCCGGGACTGGAACGGGCGCCCATGTGGGATGCTGGGATGCAGGTGGAGGCTCTGCCTACGCCACAGCGCCGGCACGAGGCCCGGTTTTACAATGGGCCAGGGAGACACACTCTCAGCGTGAACTCTAGTGTGGGCGGAGAGAAGTGGGGAGCCGTGGAGCTCCAGTGAGGGGGGCAGCAGCCAGCAGGAGGAGGCCTGCTGCACGTGGCCGTGGGCACCGGGTTGGTGTGGAGTGCGTGGCTGTTTCTAAGGGTCTTATCGTGCAGGTTCCCTTCTCCTCTTCAAAGCCACCCTTGTGGGTGTTCTTGGTGGGAGCGGTGGCTGTTCCTTGGGCGCTGGAGAGGGTGGGGTGACCTCCCTTAAGCCCCGGCTAGCAAGCTCACACTGAAGCCGATGCCTTGCTCCACACGCCTTCTAATCGGTGCTGTTTCTTGAGAATCAGGAGGTGGAGTTTGCTGTCCTAGAGCTCGGGCTGTTCATGGAAAATAGCACGCACCCTGCTCCTGGGCCCCAGCTAGGCCCTGGGCACTGCACAGGTGCATGCTGGGAAGCGGCAGCTGTCCTGCGCACCTGCATTCCTGCTCGAGGCCTTGGTTTGGGGCTGTGGCGGGGGCCCTGCTCCCAGAGTCGGGACCCAGCAGGTGGTCTGGATCTCAGGCCGGGTTCTCTGGGAGCCACTTCTGTGCCAGGGCTCCAGACGGGCTGCCCGGGGACTGAGCTCCGCCCTGAATTAGGTTCTGGTTGGCTGGAGCCGTGTTGGCCTGCATGGGGTTTCTGTTTTATGAAACTGAATTACCAGCATTTGCCAGAAGTGGCAGCTGCTTTATCAGACGGCGTCTGGGTGCTTTGGGCCACACTGTTAATTTTCCTACGGTTGGCTTGCTTGGTTCGTTTGTGCCTGCCTGGGCCTTGGAGACACTTGTCCTGAGATTGGGGTCATCACAATTTCTTACCATCCAGAACCACACCCTCTCTAGAGTGGGGAGTCCGCCAGGTGCCTTGTGAAGCCAGGTTTCAATGGCGTCTTCTGGGGCGGGGAGGGGGGACTTTGCCAGCTGTAGGCTCCGGGGCCCGAGAGCAGGGCATCTGTCCTTTTGTTCTGTTCCAGTCACAGTTCAAAGGTCATCTGATTCTTTCCTTTGGAGATGCTGTGACAAGACAAGAGTCACGTTGGCTGTGTCTGTGCTGCGGGCCAGTGCTGTGTTGGGCACGTGGCTGTCAGAGCAAGTTTGCTGAGTCAGATGACGCTGAACAATTATTTGGCCACCGCGTATTGATAAGCATGAAAGAAATGACTTCCCGGAATATGAGATTCTTCTTTATTATTTCCCAGAAGCTCCGTGTCTGAAATGATTTGGTTTGTGATTTAGTTCGTGCCACTTGTCATTTTGAAGTCCCTATTGCATTGGGAGGCTCCGCTGTTTCTGGGTTTGCTAGGTCGCCTTAGTGCTTTGCCCTTAAAGGGACAAGGTCACACTTGTCCATTCTGTGCTGGTGAGCTCCCGGGACCAGAAAGGCCTGCGGCCAGCTGTGTGCTCAGGCAGCAGGCACTGGCCGACCGCCTACCTGATTTCCACATGCCTACGCGATTTCCACAGTCATAAGTTTGAGAACAAAGCGACTTTACCACTGTGGTCCAAGGCTTGGAATCAAATGTACATCCAGTTTGTAGAAAAAGCTTGAAGAGCTGTCTGTCAAGATTGTCCTAATACGGTTTGGGGACCAGAGGGAGCGGTGTGGACAAATCCCCCAGCAGAGGGCACGTTCAAGGCCACCCACTGCCAGCGTGAAAATGTTGGACACATATGACTTCGCCACGCAAACTGGCTGCATAATGTATGGTTTTTCCATGAAAAGAGATCGATAAAGCTATAGAAAAGGAATCAGGATGTAGAACAGAAAGTATAGTAAAAACCTATTTTTTTTTTGAAAAAAGAATCCTGTGCACATATATCTAGAAACATGTATGAACTCGGACAGGAAAATCACTGGTGGTGATCTGAAGGCTGGGGTTTGGGGTAACTTCAACTTCGTCCTTCTGGCTAACCTCCCCCCTTTTCCCTAATTCTTGTCATGATGTCTGACCTCTGTCACATGAAATCACAAAGAGAAGGGACCGGACACTGTGCGAGGCCGCGCTGCAGGTGGGCCGAGGGAAAGTGGCGGCAGGCGCTGCCCTGGTGGTCCCCACGTCCGCCCCCGCCAGGCCGAGATGGAGTGTGATAGAGCGGCGATGGCGGGGTGCTTTTCATTTCTGGAGTGTCGCAGCTGCTGCTTGTGAGACCGATAAGCCCCGTGGGGTCCAGACGGAAGCCGGCCGCCACCGGATATTAGCTGCCCGGGTGCGGGCCCTGGGGCGCCGTGTCAGCGGCTCTCATCAGCGCCGTGGTGTCTGTGGTTATTAGTTTTCTACCCTGGGACTGATGTCAGCACTGATAAGGTGTCCTTTTCATAAATTTCCAGGCATTGCTTTCTTGCCAGCCAGCATCTCTTATCTCATTGGAACCAATATTTTTGGGATCCTTGCACACAAGATGGGGAGGTAAGATGGAAACCTCGCTCATCCTGTCGGTCGCGTGCTGCTTCAGAGCGCTGCTCGGTTCTCCTGCCGTGGCTGCTCGGGGCCGCTGCTCGCTTGCCTTTGACGATCTGGGCTGGCGAAGAGGCCGAGTGCGCGTGTCCTGATGGTGCCTCTTCTCCCGACAGGTGGCTCTGCGCGCTCGTGGGGATGATCGTCGTTGGAGTCAGCATTTTGTGTGTGAGTAAACAATGGCACTTGACAAACGTTTGTGACAAGTCTGTGACTTGACCATTCGGACAAGAATCACCAAGCCACATTATAAAGCCGTTTGTTACAACTTTCTTATCTTCAACATTTTTTTGGACAAGAACTCTCCAAGTGGTGTATTTTCATTCTGTCCAAGGTCATTTAAAATGTTTGCTTACTTTGCTTGCAGTTGGCCACGGCTCCTCCACCTCCATCACCTTAAACATTGCAGTGCTTGAAACACCTCAGGACAATGAGCCTGAAACAGCACCATGGTTTTCTAGAATAGGACATTTTCTACCAATGGCCAGTGTCCACGCCAGAGGTGGCCTTCTGTCCGTGTCAAGGCCTGAGCGTGGACTGTGCTGATCGCCACTTGTGGCACTGGCTGCTCTTCCTGGTAGTCATGGAACCTGTTTCTAGCTTCGATGGTCTCCCCAGACCCCATCCTTTCTCCTCCCGTTCCCTCGGAAGGGAACAGGCACACCACGCAGAGAAAACATTTTCAAGACGATTTTGAGTTGGATATCTTGATATCTGACACTAACACGGATTTTCCTCTTACAGATTCCTTTTGCAAAAAACATTTACGGGCTCATAGCTCCCAACTTTGGAGTTGGTTTTGCTATTGGTAAGTCACGTGGGCCTGTGCCTCCGTTTGCAACTACTCTTGCGCCAGGAAAGATCTCCTCTCCCTTTGATCAGCTGTTAGGTATTCCGCCTCAGTGTGCAGGGGCTCAAAGCGGCTGAGGGCAGCTTGGCTCCACCTCATCCTTACATCGTCCGCGTCCTAGCTGGTTATTTCCTGAAAACCAGCATGCAAAAAGCCCGATATTGACAGGAACAAAGCCAGCTCTCCAATGCTGTGTGCTTGGACAGTGGAAGGAGGCCCTTCCCCAGGGCACATCTGCCTGGCTCCCGTCTGTGAGCAGGCCTTCCCGGGTGAGGCTGAGGGAAAAGACCAGTACTTCTTGTAGGGTTGGAACAGGGGAAGCAAGCTGATAATCATGGCCATCTGTGCGGTAGGGGTTTTCACAGGCAAAGCAGCTGGGTCTCTGTATTGTTAGGGACAGCAATGAATACGTGAGGAAAAACCCTTGTTCGTGTTGTGAAGAGTATACTTCTGTTTGTTATCCTTACCCACTGTCATGATACAAGTAAGTGCAGAATCCGTCCCCCATCGAGGCCGGGGCTGATCTTTGAGTGGCACAACAGAAAGAATGACCTGAGTCTTTCTGACCCCCGGCGAGGTCAGGCTCAGGTAGTAGGTGTGAAGGAACTTTAAAAAGTTGGTGGAAAGTGGAGTTAAAGGAGAAGTTGATTTTGGTGCAAAGAAATTTTGAAGTCTGTTTTTTTCATAATATACAATTTCCATGAACTTTTTTTTTAAAGACTTATTTATTTATTTGAAAGGGTTACAGAGAGGGAGAGAGACAGAGAAGGAGAGAGACGGAGAGGGAGAGAGACGGCGGGGGGGGGGAGGTCTTCTATCTGCTGGTTCACTCCCCAAATGGCCGCAATGGCCAGACCAGGGCCAATCTGAAGCCAGGAGCCAGGAGCTTCTTCCAGGTCTCCCGCACGGGTGCAGGGACCCAAGCACTTGGGCCATCTTCCCCTGCTTTCCCAGGCCACAGCAGAGAGCTGGATTGGAAGTGGAGCAGCTGGGGCTAGAATCGGCACCCACATGGGATGCTGGCACTGCAGGTGGCGGCCTTACCCACCACGCCACAGCGCCGGCCCCTCCATGAACTTTTTGAAGTACCCTTGTCTGTTCTTACAGTGTTGTCATAGCATCCGTCCCCGCTGTAGTTGATTTTTCAGCTCTGCCTGATGCCCAACTCTCACATTAGTTTTGCATACCTGTCCCAGCACCTTGCATGCATGAGACAGTGAGCAAACACCACTGGAGTGAAGGCCACTGCCGCCGTACAGCTGAGGGTGCTATCATTTGAGTTCCCTGCTCGGTGGACTCGGGGATCTTAGCTCATTGTCATTGTAGCCGGTCGTTAGCAACCCATTTTATAGGTGGAGAAACTGATGTTTACAGAGCTGGGCATGACCACACCCACACAGCCCAGTTCTGGGATTTGAACCCAGAACTCTGAAGGCATGCACTTTGTCTTTGCTGCTTGTCGCAGACCCGTCAAGAACCGGGTGACAGAACCGCTGGTTGTGGTGGTGGTTCTTAGGTAACTAAAGGAACCGACCTCTCCGAGTTCCAGTCTGCAAGACTCCGCTGGGTACCTCTGTGCATTCTCCACCTTCGTAACCCCTCCGGTCTCCGTGTGAGGCCCAGTGTGGATGGGGAGGCAAGGGGCAGAGCAAGCACTCGGAGGCCCAGCAAGGACTTGGGGACCCTGGAGTTCCCGCGCAGTTTTCGGCCATGTGTGCTGGGGGAGAGCTGTGCTGTTGGGCTGTGCCACGAGGCTCGGCAGGGAGGGTGGCACAGCGCAAGAGCCGGTGGGGCACTGAGTTCAGGGCGGTGGGGTGACTGTCCGGTTTCTGTACACTGCCCCCTGCCTGTCCCCAGGGATGGTGGACTCGTCAATGATGCCCATCATGGGCTACCTCGTGGACCTGCGGCATGTGTCTGTCTACGGGAGCGTGTATGCCATTGCGGACGTGGCTTTCTGTATGGGATACGCGATAGGTAAGGGCACGGGCTTTTCAAAGAACCTTTTACCTCGGTGCAGAGCAGAAAATGCTTACGAAAGTGATTGAGTCTTTGCACCCTTGTATCTCCAAGACGCCTGGAGACGGCTTTGTCTAATTCTCTGTCCCTGAAAGGTCCGTCGGCCGGCGGGGCCATCGCAAAGGCAATTGGGTTTCCCTGGCTCATGACGATCATCGGGATCATTGACATTCTTTTTGCTCCTCTCTGCTTCTTTCTCCGGAGCCCACCTGCCAAGGAGGAAAAAATGGTAAGAAAAATGTAGGGTGCAATGAAGCACTTCTTGTTTTCGCATGGTCTTCTGGGTAATCCCTCATAGTTATTTCCTCCTAGTTTAACTCTGAAATGTGTTTTTGCTCCTTTGGGGCAAAAGCCTCCAAACCTAAATAATGAGTTTTTTAGTTTGTACCACATGGGGAAGTTACTTTATTTTTGATTTATTTTATTTATTTATTTGAAAGAGTTAGAGGTAGAGACAGAGAGAGAGGTCTTCTGTCCACTGGTCCACTCCCCAATTAGCTGCAACGGCCGGAGCTGTGCTGATCAGGAGCCAGGAGCTTCCTCCTGGTCTCCCACGTGGGTGCAGGGGCCCAAGCACTTGGGCCATCCTCCACTGCTTTCCCAGGCCACAGCAGAGAGCTAGATTAGAAGTGGAGCAGCCAGGACTAGAACCAGTGCCCAATTGGGTGCTTCAGGCCAGGGCTTTAACCTGCTGTGCCATGGTGCCGGCCCCTACTTTATTTAACTACTTTCACACTTAAACTTGAAGAGTGAAATGATTGTATAAATTAGCAGCCATATAGCTCTTTCATCAACCAGATAGAAACCCGGCATAGTTCAGTTCCTATGGTTCTGGTGAATGGTGGACATCCATTTCCTGCCTCCTGGACTAACTCCCAAGATCAGCCGTTTGTGGTGCTGTTTGCTTTTCTCTTAACCCTTACAGCCTTCTGTGAGAGTTGACGTTTTGGTCTGTACTGTATGTAGGATTCCGGTAATGGGCTCAGGCTTTTAGAAGTGGGAAATCATAGTGTAGATGGTTGGGGTACACATGTGAGTCTCCCTACAGCTGTTGAGGTCATAACTTCATGAGCAGAAGCATCACCAGGGACAAGAGGGAAGGTGTCCCTCTGAACAGGTGCATGGCTGTTGTCTCTACTTGGAGTCTTGAGTCGTTTTAAGTTTACCTTACCCAGCAAGGAGAAACTTAGTTTCTGGTCATCCATGATGATCGGCCATGTTGCTGCTGTCTGAAATGTCGGATGCTACCAGGCACGTGCCAGCTGCAAGGGGGAGCAGGAACTGTTTCTGAATGGATGTGAGCTTCACTGGGGGTGCTTTTGTGGAAATGTATCAGAGATTCTAACGGCTGCACTGAGTGTGTTATGATGCCCTTTGATGGTTTTCTCCAAAAGTGAATTTACAGGCCCTGAAGTTAGGTGACTGCGGATGTTCGTCTAGGGCATTTGTTAGTCATTCACCCACGCAGCACAGGTAAAGAATGCACCACGCGCTGGGCACTGGCCTCGTGCCCTGCATCATTCAGGATTTAACCGCAGAACTTTGAGCTACCCAGGGCCTGTTGGGCTCCTGGAGAGTGGAAGGAGCTGGGGAAAAACATAGACGCCCCCTCCCTCCCTCCCTCGATGCGTCCCTGGCCCTGAGCAACTGTGGCATTTTCTGAGCCCTGTCTTAAGGGACTTAATTCTTTTCCAGGCTGGTCGTATAAATTCCCAATCCATCTTTGTTTGGCTGACTAGCACAGTAGCTTGTCCGAATGGGGGTCAGGAAGTTCCTGGCACAACAGTGGAACACAGTCATTCTGTGCTTCTATAACGATTTGATTAAGGCTACATGAAGGTTAATTTCAACCTTTCAAATGGCTAGCAGCTGCTTCTGTCACCCGGGAGACTGTTGAGGGCTCTTGGGAACTGAATCGGCCCTACCAGGCAGGGGCTATGGGATTCTGTTTCCTTTTGCTTTGCATCCAGTGGGGAAATGGTAGCATCTACCTTACGGGTTGTCGTGAGGGTTTTGAAAGCTGAGATCGCAACAAACTGCTTGGGAAACTGGCTCAGTAAATGTATTTCCACCCTCGCTCCATTCTTCATTCTTTTACCCAACAGCGTCAGGCCAGAGAAACCCGAATTTTCTCCCTTTCTTCTGCACTTTGTGCGAGAGTTTCCTTTTGCGATGCAGACCCAGGACTGCTGAGCAGGGGTGCCTTGCCGTGGCAGCAGATGTTAGAAGCTGCCGCTGCTCTGTGTGTGTGTGTGTGTGTGTGTGTCTCTGTGTCTCTGTGTGACAGCTTATCTGAGGCAGCGGGCGTAAAGGGTGAAGTCAGGGTGAGTTTCACCGCCATGTTCTCAGAATGGCAGAAGGCAGGCCTCAGGAGCTCCTCTGTCCCCATTTAAGCCAGTTCTTTAGCTCGTCTTAGAAAGCCAAAGGAAGTGGACGAGACAATCTTGAAGGCAAAACAATAAGAACTACAGTGAAAGCCAACTTTCATTGTAAAATGTCTCAAGTACCTAGCCAATCGTTAAAAACTTGAAGTATGATCTTCCTGTCCACATTTGAGATATTATGTTGGCCATTTGACTGCCGTAATGGCAGCATTTGAGGGGGGAAGCCATGGCCGCTGTGTGCTCATTGTGCACGCAGAACGGGGAGTAAGCGGACGAGGCCGACGGACCCTAATGATCAGGGGCCATGCGGGCGGCGCAGCAGTGTGCTCTGGGGGAGGAAGAATCCATCACTGTGCACTTGAGCAAACCCGGCAGGGCTGAGCGCTGGTGTTCGGGGGCCGGCGGTCACCAGGTGCAGGTGGACTGAGTAAGGAGGCGTTCAGCCCTCAGCAAGTAATTGTCTCATTAGACAGCATCTTGATCATAAGGGGTTTGGACTTAAGCGGCTCTGTATTGAAAGGGTTCACGGATCACAAGTCATAGAATCGTGAACTGTTTTATGAGCGCGCACATTTCTTCTGCTTGGTTTACTTGATTTCTGTTTCTTCTATAATGAGTTATTTGGATTGGTGGAGAAAGAACTGTTGTCAGCAAGTGTAAAAAATGTCAACACTGTCATTGGAGAACTGCGTGCCAGTTGTAGTCGGTCACACGGTAGCCCTTCGCTGTCCAAATGCCCAGCTGAGAGTAGCTGTGTTTGGTGAGGATTTTTTCCAGGTTGAATTACTTTTCTGAGTCTGACTTACTCTTGGAAGTTTCTAATTGGTACCCAGAAGGGAAAGCAGGTGGTTTGAGAATGGCAAAGGCCCTCCCATCACCAACTCTGCTTTCTGGATGCTACAGGCTGGCCAGGATTGGCTGACTAGAGGCTAAGGAGAGCCAGTGTGCTTTGCATGTTATAATCCACTTAAAGGAACTTGTCCCTTTGCAGGGCATGTATGCAGCAGATGCAAAACCACTGTTTTCTCTAGGTATGTGCAAGAGAGTGACATTTGTCCAGTATGAACCCCTGGTGCCTTTCCAAGTCTCAAAGCCTGGAATTCTTACTTTTGAACGTTTTTGCTTTTGCATTTCACTTGGTGCAGTCATGCGTTTGCCATTGATTCTGCCCCGAGTCAGACGTGAGCTAGGCACCTGGTGGGGGCAGAACTCGGCTCTCTGTAACTAGGCTCTGCTTCAAATCCAACAAACTCCCTTCCTTTGCATTCTCTCGTCGTAGAGGGCACACACCTTTCTCCCTACAGCAGAGCGTGGAGTGTTGCTTTAAATTACCTGCCTGGCTGTCGGGCCACTCTGTGTTCCTTAAGCCCTTGACTCACACACACGAGTTCATGCTGACTGCACGCTACCTGGCTTGATCATATGTAATGTAACAAATACCACTACTGGTCCATTTTTTAAAGATTTATTTAAGAGACAGAGTTAGAGATAAGAGGGAGGGAGAGAGAGACAGAGAGGTCTTCCATCTGCTGGTTTGCTCCCCAGATGGCTGCAACAGCCAAGGCTGGACCAGGAGCCCAGATCTCCATCTGGTTCTCCCACATGGGTAGCAGGGACCCAAGTATTTGGGCACCATCTGCTGCCTTTCAGGGTGCGCGTTGGCAGGAAGCTGGATTGGAAGCAGAGTAGCCAGGACTCCAACCGGAACTCTGATGAGCAATGCAGGCATCTGAAACAGTGACTGGACCACTGTACCCAGTGCCCCCCCCCCCCCCCCAGTGCAGCGTTTTATTCAAAGTCCATAGATGTGCCAGGCCCTGGACCTCCGCGTCCTTCAAAAGATGACACATATGTGCAGTCAGGTCTAAGGTGGGGGGGGGACCAAGCAAAGAGAGGCCCTTGTGAGCTAGAGCAATGGCTATTTTTTCCAAGGCACCCACTTCATGTGTTTCTCAACGCTACACATGAGTGGACCTGGACTTTCATTTTTAGCCTGCTCCATCCTCCCTGGCTAGAGTGATCCTTGGGCATATTTGAGACTCACTCATCTGGGGAGGTGAGACATTGAGCTGTCAGGGGCCAAGGCTTTATGTCACACAGGGAGAAGGGTTCTGTGTCCAGTGTCTGCTGCCTAATTTTTAGAAACTGAGCTCTGTGTTAGATACATGTATCCATGCACTTGGAAAGCAGAAGACAGAGTTATTTGAAGCTAAGTCTGAGCTGGCGCAGGGGATCAAGGGAGTCCTTGTCTTCACGTGTCACACAGACGGGTCATTTGAGAATCTCTTGGGAAGTAAGTGGGTTAAGCACGGAGTGGAGTCATGTCAAGTCTGCAGGATAAGAGCTGGGGGTAATAGCTAAGACACCAAGAAAGGTTGTGATAGGCCAACGTCAGGAACGTTTTAATCTGTGTAGACTTGACAACTGCATGAAAGGGTTCTGGGGGAATAGTTCATAGTGGGCAAACCCCAGGAAGACACACCTGATGAGGAAGAGAATTCGCTCGAGCCGTACGCAGCACCCCACTGCCAGCCACAGCACTCGGGCTCCCGTGGAGTTGTGCAGGAGTGGACTGTGCCACGAGGCTCCACAGGCTCCTGCGTGCCCCATTCTTGCGGCACAGTCAGCCCTCCGTATCCACGGGTTCTGCGTCCATTGGCTCAACCAACCACGGCTAGAAAACATTCAGGAAAACAAACCCACTGGTCTATGCAGAACAATCAGATTTTTTGGTCATTATTCCCTAAGTAATACAGTTTAACAACTGTTTACATAACATTTAAGTACTAGACATAATCCAGAGATGATTTAAAATCCACAGGAGAATGTGTGTGTTTTATATAAATACTGCTGTTTCATATAAGGAACATGGGCGTCCGTGGATTTGGACATCTGCTGGGGGCCACGGACCGGTCCTCCATGCATACTGGGGGCCAACTGTACACCCCTTGGTCATATTCTTTACCTGTTCTGTGCCTGTGTCCTCAGCCCACCACAGGGTTACTCTGAAGTTGCCGGATTGCGTCTAGAATGCTCAGTGTGGTCCTGGCATGCGTGGTGTCTGCTGTTAGACTCGAGCTTGGTTCTCTGCACATCTAGGAAGAATAAAGCCCCCGAGTGTTTCAAGCATCACGTTTTAGCCCCCAGTCTCTGTTTTGTCTTTTCAGGAACAGCAGACGACGGCGTGACTTTCCATCACAAGAGGAATTTTTTTTTTTAAATCAGAATTTGTGAGAAGGTGAAAGCCCTGGAATGTTTAGGAAAAGGTCTCAGGGGCCATGGTGACAAGGTCTTAAACTATTTCAGGGGAGTCTGAGTAGACAGCTGGTGTGAGAACCCGACCCGTGCGTCCAGAGAACGGAGACTGCAGCCTAGCCTCGGGTGCGTCTCTAACCTGAGTGTCCCCTCTTCCGGAGAGGGCGCTCCCCGAAGGATGCAAAGACACTGGACTGGATTGCTTCCAGGATCCCTACTCCAGCTGCAGACTTCTAGGTTTAACTCCTTTTAAACTCGGCCCTCTCAGCCGTGCTTCCTAGGCTGGGTTCAAGCGCGGACTCGCGGTCCCGGAGAGGCGTAACTAAAGCCGCACCGAGACCGCTTCTACAGTCTCCTGTTGGCTGGAATTGCCACTGAGTGAACTCCAGGTCTTCTAGGCCAGGCACCTGCTGATTCCTCCAAATGACTGGTTAACAGCAAGTAACAGTACAGAGCTTTCAAACCAGTAATCCTTACCAACAGGTAAAAATCCAGCTTACCTTTTACAAAACACGAAATTAACACACTTGTACTTTGCTTTCTTGTAGGCTATTCTCATGGATCACAACTGCCCCATTAAAACAAAGATGTACACTCAGAGTAACATCCAGTCTTATCCACTCGGTGAGGAGGAAGAATCCGAAAGTGACTGAGACTCACATACTCCAAGTGTTTAATTGTATAAAAGTGTCTCCCGTGACCTGACTCGTCCAGAACCATCTTAGTCATGCCATGCATCCCTGGCGAGAGAGTAAACCAACCAAAGGTTATTATTTCTTTTCCATGGTTATGATTGATTGCCAATAGCCTTATAAAGAAAAAGCTTTTCTAAGGGTTTGTATAAATAGTGTTGAAACTTTATTTTAAGTATTTGATTTTATTAAATATTATACAATATATTTTCACGAAATATGTAAATCTATAAATATTTGAATCCAAATCAAGTATTTTTTAACTTACATTCACAAACACTTGGGCAAAAAAAATCTTATATTTTTTCTGAATATTGGTGACGAGTGTTTAAAGCATACACTGAGACTTTTCCGACAATGAGAAAGTAGAAGTCTGAAAAACAGAATCGAGTAAGACAGCGTTAAGTTACATAGTGACACTGAATGAGTGTTGCTAATTTGACGTGTAATTACCATCCATATATTCGTTAGAAGCTAGTTAAGTACAGAGGACAAAGACTTGAATCAGCCATCTATTGGATTTATCCATAAATCTCAGCTGGCATAGATTTCCTATGTCATTACCTGCCTGGAAAGAGATGGCTGTCAATTATGTTGACTTTTCATGTGGTTGGTGGTAAACGTTAAAGCCACAAGGGAAAAACAGGATTCTGGAAACAGAGAAAAGCACCCACGCATTCAGTTATGAACTAGCTTTCCTGTTAAGATGTACTTTTTTATGAGATAAAAGAAAATTCAAAGTGTACCTTACACCGTCAGCTATACTCAAGCATGGTATAGTTTATCAACACCAAGTTCAAGTTTTAGAAAAGCAAACTTAAAAAGCTGCTGTGATGGGAGAAATCAGATTGTTTCTAGATCATCCAAGTGTTTTCTAGGGATCTGTTAATTTGGGGTTGTCGGAAACTATTTCTTTCCAGACTCCTGAAAGTTGTTCTTATCTTTAGTGTAAAAACAAATTTTAAAAGAAGGTAAAGGAATGAAATTGTTTATGTCCTGAATCACTTTAGGAGAAGAGACAAACGTAGGGTGGTCAGAACACATCCCCTTTCCCAGAAAGAAAAGAAAAAGCAAACATCTAAAAATGTGCCCCATGTCATCTAGTGTGCTGTGTCCTGTAGTTTTTCTAAGCATGATAGCATTGATGTGCCTTTTCTGTGAACAGCAAATACAGTTAGTGAATAATTGCCAGTCTCATTGTTCTGTATGATTGGAGAGTGAAAAAGCGTGGAATACATCTCCAGTATAATACTTAATTCAGCAGTTCTGTAATCAAAAGTTCGCCTAATGTCGGTTTTATTAAGCTGAGTTGTGCTTGTGTTCACCTGGACATCGAGGAGCAAACAATTTTAGAAGAGACTCAGCAAACTACTTGTTCTCTAGGGTGAAGCGGCTAAGACTTCCCTTTGCTTTGTGAACCTTTTCTGGGGGGCTTGTGACAATTTGAAGCCTGGTTTCCAAGCAGCTTCATGCAACCATGCTTCCTGCTAATTGACATTGGGCAGTTCACACACGTGTGCCCTTTTGGGAGATGGCTCTGGCGGGGAGGAACTCTTATGTGACTAAAAAAAAAAAGGCAGGAGCAGTGCTATTTCCACAGGGGGACAGCCTTCAGCACTGGTTCTCTTGGAGTTTGTGGCCCTCCTTGCCACCAGTACCACATAGTTTCTTCCTGTTTTATTTTTGCCCTTAAGGCCTCAGCTTGTGAGGCTGGCGAAAGCTGGCCTGCTACTGATCTGGCAGGAGCTATGCATTTTACAGAACTGCTTTGTGAGCAAGGGATATGTTCTATATGAGGGGAAAAAATGACAAGGTCTTGAATGTTCTGGGCTAGCCAGACTGTAGAGGGTTTTCTTTTTTTGATTACAGCTACAGAACAAAACACAGTTCTCCAAACATTTGTTTGAAAAGTTTTTTTTTTGGTGGTGGTGGTTGGTGCCTGGTAATAGAGAAACATCTTAAAAGAATATTCAACCATTTCTACTGACTCCTAAGTGTTATCTGTCCAAATCATGTTTTATGGTTTACTTAATAAATATTCTCAACACCGTACCATGCCTATTTGTATTCCTTTATAAACCAAATATTGCTGTTGGAATAAAATACATGATATTGTTTTGACGTGGGTAATGTTCTGTTATGCTTGTGAGCATCAGGTAAGAGCAATTCCAGGTTAGTTTGAAGTCATTTTTGGCTTTCTATAATTGTGGAACTACCCACATTAATGTGGGAGGGGGAGCAGCAAATTATCCTTGCATCTCTAAATTTCTGTGGTTGTCCTGGTAACTGAACATATGATGTCCAGCCAACTGACATAACAGCTTAACTTGGGGCCCCCAGATGCCTATACATTCTCTAAAACCTGTGGAATTTGGGACGTTTTGAATGGCTTTTAGCTTTTGTAGCTCAGTTTGTGAGCTTTAATCGGCTAATAAAAGGGATCCACAACTCAAAAAGGATTAGGGGAATCTTATTTTGTTGCTGGTAAAGCTGTTATGTTAACTTAGAATTTCTAAGTCCCCTAAAAGTGAATAAACTTAAAATCACTTAAATATATTGTCTTGAGAGGGAGAGAAAGAACGAGTGTTCCCATGTACTGTTTCCCTAAATGTTTCCAACAGCTGCAGCTGGGCCAGGCTGAAACCTGGAGCCCAGAACTCAACGTAGGTCTCCCAAGTCAGTGGCAAGGACCTAAGCACTTGAGCCACCACCTGCTGCCTCCCAGGGTGTACAGTAACAGGGAGTTGAATTGGGAGGATTCAAATCCGGGTACTCTGATATGGGATACTATGTCTCAACTTGCTAGGCCAGAGGCCCATTTCCAAACACTTCAGATTTTATTCTTTATTAAAATCTCAGGGCCAACTAGTTTCAAACTGCCTTTCAAAAAATTTAAATATAGTTAAATTTTGAGTTTGACAGTAGCACCCAAAATATCCACAGTATTTCAACAAGTTCCCATGTTGAATATAAGGCTTGATATTAAGAAATGTAGCATTTAATGATTTTAAAATAATGTTAATTTTGCTCAGTATGTCTAATATTTCATCTAAATATCAAAGTATGTACTTTAAATAGACTAATTACTAATATATATAGCACAGGCAGTCCCACAAATCTGATATTTCACAGGTTAAACAGTTAAATTTTAATGCCTATAGGCAGTTTGCAAAACAGTTATTTTGTTTAGCAAAAGTGGAATCTGTATGCACTGTATTCCACGGCGATACAACAGTTACCTTTTTTAGATGTTGTCAAATGAAGATTTCTTGTTTTCTGCAATAGGCTTTATTATTTCTTAGCTATTGATAACATAGCATGGCAGCAAGATTACATCGGTAATGTAATATAATACAACTGTTTTCATTGAAGCCATACATCTTACTATACTCTAGGCTGTTTGGAGTGTTCCCCCCTTGCACTAAGGTACAACTGTGATGCCGCCACTGCCTCTTCCAGTAGATATAAAATATTGCACTACATTGAAGATATACTTTACCAATGTCATTAGCAGCATTACTGAGCTTTCCGTAACTGGGGTTCTACAGAGTTAAATACTTTTAAAATGAGAAGATTCTTAGGTGAAACCAAGTGTTAACATTATTTCTACAGCTCTTTCAAATGCAGCAGTTTCAGCAGTATGCTTGGGTATCACTACACTTCCATGGTTTAATCCATAAACACCAGCCACTTACAGACACCCCACTTCCCAGGCTGTCAATGGTAGGTTACTGTTTACAAGACGAAACATGGTTATACATCAGGTAGATTGAGTAAGCATACTGAAACAACATTTTAGCGTTCAGAGAATTCGGTGTGTCATCTTCCATAGCAGTGTCCTCTTAAAATGCAAGCATGCTTAAATAAACAACAGAAAGAGGGGCATACAGATATATTTTTGTTATAAACTTAGCCAAGAAAAGTATTTAGTGTCCTAATATTTCACTTAAACAACAGGAGTGACCATTAGCTATTGGTTTTAAGTGGAGTAATAACTTTTCTACCCGCAAAAACATTCTCTGTTAAGCGAGACCTTTGATGTGTACGGTCCTGTACTATTCAAAGCACTTCTGTGGCTACACCGCTGTTTTCCTCATAATCCTGTGATGTGGTTCATCTTTCCTACTTTAGAGACGGGGAGCTGCAACACGGGGCCTTTTTGTGATTTGCCTATGGTCAAACAGTTCTTTAATGGAAGCCCTTGAACTTAAACTCTTGGCATCCTGGACTAAAAACCTGAGTCACAATTTTTAATAGTATACTATACTTTTTTTTTTGCCAGCTATAAAAGCTGTCCCACTAAATTCCTGTCAGTTTCACTACATATTAACTATCGCAGCAGTTACCTACAAAAGGGAAAAACACAATCTTTCAGAGTACGTAACAGGCCCAAGCTTGCATGTTTTCCTCACTCATGTGTTACTGGAACCCCCAAGATGGAATATCGGAGTACATCCTCACTTCAGAGAACTGGTCCCAATTCCTGTGTGTCTGTGTGGTCCATTTTTATTTAACTTAGCAGTCTGAGTTACAGTGGTATTCAGAATGATCACCATTTCTTTAAGCCTGTAAGATGCCAGATGAAGCAAAAAATATATTTTGCATGATTCTTCACAACACACTCCTGCATGAACATGTTTTAAAACAAAACCAGCCAAAACTTAACAGTCATTTTAAGAACAGTCCTCTGAAACTTGAAATATCCTTGTACATGCTTTATTTCCTATGGGAGAACTGAAGATGAAAAAAATCATCATGAGTATTTAAAACTTCCACTTAAAAGGAAAGCGTCAACATTTTGAAAGATATTTCAAAATCCTACTGGTTACTGCTTTTCAGTAATTAAAATTTGTTATCCTACAAAATTATTGACCAACTACATTCTGTAATTCCCAATTATATGTTGTTTTTTCAGTGCAAGCTCTTCAAAGTAATCACTTATTTTTACTTTAGCTGCACAAAAACTTTAGAAAAAAATTTCACAAAGCATAGAAAGCAATATATGTAATTTGTTTTTACTAAATCAGCATAACAGACTAAAGCTGTGCATCTGCTTTTATGTTACATTTGGCAAAACAGAAACCACCCTCCTGAACCCCCAAATAACAAAATCTCAGGTCTATCGGGATGATAAACTTCCTAACACAAAACAATGAGTCCTTTCATGACTGCTACTGTCACTCCGGGCATGCAGCAAGCCTGTGATGGAAATGAAAGGTTTCAAGACTAGACAGTATCCTACCTAAAACTAATTCAAAAACTAAAAGGAAGGAGAATACAGCGAGGCATCACACATACACAAACATGGAAAGTTAGCTTATTACATAATTACACAATTAGAAAAAGGTAAAAATAAATTAGTAAAAATGAATTCCCAGTATAAACCCAAAAAAGCATAGCTATAAATGCAACCCGAAACCACCAATTTAGTGAGCTGGTCATGTTTTTGCAGGAAAACAACCTTTTTCATTCTTGTTCTTACACAAGTAACTCTAGAGAAGCAGGCCAGAGTGCATTGTAAGAGGAGTTTAACGTGGTTGTAGCTGAGTACTTGAGATGCGACCTTCCCCCAGTCATTTAAAAGTTGAAGCAGCTTTTGTGTTACACAGACTCAGAGGGGCCAAACAAGTCATCTGATATGCTGCTGAAAGGCTGCGCGTCTATTAGCTGGCTTATTTCGTTATCAAGGTCCTCTTCTGCATCATCTGTGTACTTGCTTGCTTTTTTGGAGTGCTGGTCTAAAGACAGGCTTTCTAAAGTTTCGATATCTTCAATGCCTGCTCTGTAGTGGATCATAAGAAGGGTGAGAGCTTGGAGTCTTTCACCTGATTTAGCTAAAGCAGCAGAAAGAAGGGATTTTTTCCTTGTATCAGTTGTCTCTTTTTCTTCTCTAACAAGGGAATTATTGTGTTCCAACTCCTGATCAATTTCATTCTGCAGTTTATCCAACATGAACTCCAGTTTCTGGACCCTCTCCTCTGTGGGCAAGCCCCGGTACAGGTCCCGGCCGATTTCCTTGACTGCAATGAAAACGCTGTCATCCAGCCCGCCTTCCTTTCTCACTAACTTGATGCCTGCACTGCTTCCCCGTTTGGAAGGACTGTTTGGACCACAGACCTCTGTGTCACTGCCTTCATTGTCTGATGTATTGGGTGTGTGTTTTGGTGAAGGTTCTGCAAGATCAGTTCCTGGTTCAGAAAGGCGAGTTTTAGAGACTTGACGCAAATTTAACAGACGTGAGCTAGTATTGATGATGTGTCTGGTTAGACCTGTTGTTCTATTGACTGACTTGTTAGCTTCTGCATCAACACGAGGCAGGCCGACAAGGGGTTCCTGTCCGTCCAGCCTGAGGTTTTTCAGGGTCCGGTCTATTCGCCTGTCAGTTGCTCCGCAAAGAGGAGTCTCGGCCAGACACTTTTCTTGACATTTTTTATGGCAAACATACGCACAGAACATACACTGGGAAGCAGCTTTAGTCCAGACTTTTTTCTTACAGTAATCGCACCAAGTTGGGTTCTGGAACTGGGTATCCTGGAAATTGTGTTTATTTTCTGTGAAACCCATCTGCCCAGTAAGGTGCTCTTCTTTAGGGAGAGCAGAAACTTCTTCCACCAAATGCAGTTCTTTTTCTTTTTCTATGTTAGGAACTATATGGTGGTCTGGTTCTCCTTCCTTCAGATATTTGAAGTGAATAGTAATGTCACCAAAGCAGAATTTGTCATTGAATCCCTTTTGCACACTCAGATTGCGTAGTGCAGTTCTAGTGACAATAGCCTTAGGGGAGGGGGCTTCCAGTCTGAACTTTGAAAGGTATTCCATGTTTGATGTAGCTAGGCATCCTAAAGCCACCTCTTCAAGTTTTAAACTAATGTGTCCTAAACAGATGAGACCCCCCAACTTGAAAGGATCCTTGCACCACAATGCAACGTTTAAGTATCTGTGGCAGGCTTCTATGTCAAACAAACAGGATGCTCTGGTTCTTGTCCATTTTCCCAGCTTATTACGATAAAGAATTTCTGACGATTCCCATGTCTGACGATCATCCGAACTCTCCTTGGTAGGGCAGGAACTTTCTGAAGCAAATTCTTTCGCCACTTCTTGCTTTGCTGCAGCTGGCTTGGGTACAGTGGCATCTTCTCCGTGTTCCACAGCTTTTGCTTGCTTTTCAGCAGCTCTGTCTGCAGCAGCGGGGGGCAGCGCCTTCTCTAGCTTGTCAACAGGAACATCTGGTTCTGCCTGATTTGGGGCATCAGCAGACGGCAAGGGAACTTTCACTTGGGGTCTTGGTGGCACAGGTGGTTTGACAGTGGATCCTTGGGTAGGTTTTGACACTTGCGCTGGATCTGTTACCTCAAAAGTTTTTAGAGTTGAGGGTTTTCCTTCTTTGGGTGGGATTTTTGGTGGTAGTGGGTGACTTCCTGCAACTAACTTACGGTTTAAAACTGGTGATATAGCTCCAAGGGGTTTAATAGAAAGCGTTGTTGGAGTGCGTTTGGGACTATGACTCAATGACTGTGCCTCATCTTTGAACTCACTTTGTGTTCTGACATCACCTGCCAAGTCTTCAAATTCAGAATCCAGGTCTCTGTTTTCAGCATCTATTGCCAATCCAGGGGCTTCCTCTTCATAATTCGGTTGACACGTGCTTGACAGGAAGTTTTCTTCCAGCTGGCCAAAGTTCTCTTGCAGCACTGCGCCTGCATTACTCTGGCCAACAGGCCTTTCATAGTACACCAGGACTCGGTCACCAGCCTGCTTGATGAGCTTCAACACTTGCAGTGTCGATGTTATTTTCACACCTGTTTTAAGACATTTAAAGGGAATTCATGTAGATTATTGCAATAAAATTGCCTACAATTGTTGAATATAAATGTCATTACCTCATGGTTATTGAACTAATGGAGAAGAAACAGGGAAACACCAAAAATTTTTTATTTGGCTTTTGGATGACTGATTTGCAAAGCTGGGCACACTGCTACCCTGGAAATGTCAACCGTTTAGAACCAGATGTAACACAGTTCCTCTGACAGTTCCAAGCTGCTGAGCTCCTAACTGCTTTGATCCCCTCTGGGGTTACAGACAACAGATTTCTCAGTGTGAGCTGAAGAGGTGAGCAGAGGGAGACCCACTGGAAAGGATTCCACTAATGCTGAAACCAGACTCCCATTGAGGGGAAGTGCCCAATATTCTAGTGATGACAAGCTATGTGACAAATGAGTCAAATGAAGACTAAAGCTTGAAATAAATACAGTAAAATACTCCTCTATGAATAGTGGACTGTTTCACAGATTCTTTTCAGCCCTGCACATCAAACTCATCTTTTCCAGGACCAAAAAGAACGCTAAGGGATAAACTGCTTTAAAGTTACTCAAGTTGGAATGCTCTCCCACTGCAGTTGCTTGGGGAAGATGAGGCTTTCAACTTTCATAGCTTGGAAAACTTTCCACATCCAAGATCCACTTTCAGTTCATCTCTGACCAGTCTCCTATTTTTTTTTTTTTAAACTCTTATAATCTGGTCTGCTAAGTGGGTATTTTTAGGTAATTTCCCAGCCCAGTGATTCCTTCTTTCTTTTCATGGTCCTGTTGCTCTGATGCCACCTACTCTTCTACGCGGCCTAAGTCCAAGATTACATGATGTTTCGATTTGTTGAGCCCTCTCCTCTTCTACTCTATTCCTGCCTTTTTGGCAGCTTTGCTAGTCTCACCATCTCCCTTTCCTGCTCCTCAGCTTACCACTTGGATCCAGCATCAAGCCATGCTAGACATTCAGTGCTCATTTTTTGAATTGTCTCTAAACAACTGAGCCTCCAAAGCACCCGCTTCCAACTTGTCCTGTTCCCCCAAAACCCCCTGCCATACTTTCATTCTACAGATGATGCCACCTTATTTACCAAAAAGATGAACAGGAAACCACCTCTTCTCTTTGCCAATGAAGTTAGTGTTATCTTCTTTCAGAGGAAGAAGTATCCCTTTATCGGTACTGTGGATCCTATTTTCCCATCTCCCTCTGGATTTCCTCAATTATCCTCACTCATTTTTTTCTTTCTTTCTTAAGACCTTCCCTTTCCCTTTGTTTCCATGATGCTGTACTAAATTGATTCTAATCATTTTTCCTGTGGTTTCTTTTTACCCACTTACACCTGCTTTTTATAAAAAACAGTACCAAGGTTTTCCTACCATTAGTTTCCTTAGCCTTTTTGCTAAAGTAATTATGTCCACTCCAATAATTTCAAAAACTATCAATTTGTCTTTGGTTGTTTCCCTTCCTCTTCACTCTAGCCCAGTCTTCCCAACTAACACTGGCTATCACCACCTAGAAGTTTCTTTGGTACCACATCTTCAGCACAGTTAAACCCCTTTTAGACCATCTCATCCTTCTGCCCTCACCACTATGAATCAACCTGCCACTCTCCAGTTAACCCAAGTGGAATCCTGGAGATAGCTGTCCCTATAGCCATTTAGTTGTCAACTGCACCTTGGGCTTCCAGTCCATTTCCCTTCCCTCGTCAGATCCTCCTCAGCGCTGGCCTCAAGTACAGTAACAAACAGTTCTTAACTGCCAGCCCCTGCTCAGACCTTCTGGAATCACAAGCGTCATGCTGCAGGTTTTCTAAAGCTTCAGCTCAGTAACCTTCAGCCTCCAGACTTGATCACCCTGAAATCCAGAGCTTCCTACCATGGTTCTTCATGATTTTTCTAGCTTAACCTACTATTACTTCCCTTGAAACACAGTGTCCCAGCAAAACTGTAGTTTGGCATGCATAAATTAAAAAAGAATCCACCTAATAGTCTGTAGTAAGCAAAAATTTCGACTCAACCTAAATCCATTTTTTTGGTGTGTGACTTCACATCTGCCCTCATCTCATCTCTTCCCCAACCGCTGGGTGCTTTGTACAGATGGCCACTATACCGCTCAGCACTGAGTCATCCAAACTGGAATTTTCTTTTGGAATATTTCAAACATACCCCAAAACTTAGGAAACACCCTTGAGCTTCATATATAACATTTTGCCAATCTTATTTTAACTATCACCAATCCACTATTAAATATTTTTAGAACTACTGCATATTTATATAAATAAGTCAATTATAGCTATAAAATTTTTAAAAAATGCTGCTTGATATGGGACAAAGTTAGTAACACTAAAAGACTACTATAAAAAAATTATAAAAATACACTATAGGGGCCAGTGCCGTGGCTCACTAGGTTAATCCTCCGCCTTGCGGCGCCAGCACACCGGGTTCTAGTCCCAGTCGGGGCGCCGGATTCTGTCCCAGTTGCCCCTCTTCCAGGCCAGCTCTCTGCTGTGGCCAGGGAGTGCAGTGGAGGATGGCCCAAGTACCTAGGCCCTGCACCCCATGGGAGACCAGGAGAAGTACCTGGCTCCTGCCATCAGATCAGCGCGGTGCACCGGCTGCAGCGGCCATTGGAGGGTGAACCAACGGCAAAGGAAGACCTTTCTCTCTGTCTCTCTCTCTCACTGTCCACTCTGCCTGTCAAAAAAACAAACAAACAAACAAAAAAAACCAAAAAACAACAACAACAAAAAAAACAAACACTATAGGATTTCAGTTTGTTTCCTGGGGTTGGGGCAGGAGAAGTAATTCTGTGTAGAAAAAAAAGCCAAAAGAGAGACATAATAAAGTTCTTCTGTTAAGTCTCAAGTTTCTTAACAATCTACATATTATGTACAACATATAGTTCCTAATTTCAATACACTTTTACAAATGTTATATGTAAAGGGATAACTTCTGGCTTTTGGTTCTGCATATATTTATATTGCTTGGATTTATTCATTTCTAATTTTATTTCTTTGAAAAGCAACAGCTGGTGCTGGACTGGGTTGACGCCATGAGCCAGGACTCAATCCAAATCTCCCGTGTGAGCAGCAGAGACCTAGGTACTTGGGCCATTACTGCTGCCTCTCGGGTGCTCATTAGTGGGAAAGGCACTCCAGTGTGAGATGCAGGTGTTCCAAACAGCATTTTAACCAAGTTAAAATGGCCAAATGCCTGCCTCTGTTTACTTCTGATGATATTTACTACTTACGAAACTGAAAACAAAACCCTAAAACAAGATATAAAAAAAAAATTTTATCTTTTTGGTAAAATCAAAATAGGTTATATGTGAATATATAAACTTGACACTGAACTGTAGTTTTAGCTGGGGGAGAATAACTAAGACAACTATGTGATGGATGAGGTTTCTCTTATGCCCTTGTGGTGCATCCATGGGGCTGTAGCAGCAGCATCTGGAAGTTTGATAGAAGCGCAGATCTTGGGCCCTGTTGGTCTGCTAAATCAGATACACATTTTAACACCAAGTCTGGATGACTGGTATTTACATCAAAGTGTGGGAAGCGCTGCTGATGCCATGATCAGAAAGATTTCCATATGACAATGTTGACTTATGTGGGCAACTAAATCATTTTCATGATGGATTTGAATCAAAGACAGAGTTTCTTGAACATATAACTAGGAAAACTGCTGATTTGTGAACTGTCTTATTGTCTTGGCTGTGAAAAAACATGCCACACTGTACATAAAATATAAACTGTGACCAACCACATGTTCAAGAAATCTCTTGACAAGCCTAGAATTGGTTGGTCAGCTATTTAAGGGCCTGAAAAAGCTTGGACTTTCCCCCTACTGCTGTGTATATGAGTCCTGCTGCTCAGCTGTACACATCCAAGCAAACAACCAATCAACAGGGAATTTTTCTTGTTGTTGTTAACAATTCAGTTGACAGGAGACATGCAGGTGACATATTTTCCACTAATGATCAGGGCTGAACTCTGAATAACAGCAATTAACAAATGCTGGCCATTCAGACAATATGGGGCCACAGGACAGTTCAGCTGTATCCTCTCTGTTCATTATTTAATTCAAGTGATAAGGTAAGAGTTACAATTTAGGCTCATGGTAGTAATGCAGAAACGTTACTGTTGATTTGTCTTTTACATTTAACAAAAAATAAATACAGGTGTAGAAGGTGGGAAAGGAAGGAGAATTAGAAAGATTACAAAAAAATGGCCTAAAGATGAAGAAATTTAAAGATTTATACCTTAGGACTAAAATGGCAAATATGTTTTAAACACATTTTTAGGCTTCCTTCAGATTTTTATTTATAATAAACTTACTTTTTTTTTATAACTTTGCAAGCAAAATAAAAAAGTGATTATTAGAATAAGGAAGGGAGTAAAAACTTCCTATTTTCATCCTAATTTCACTGTAAAATACATTGCATATTAGTGTAATTACCTCCAATAGCAATAAGTCGATCTCCCCGCTGAAGATCTGCAATAGCAGCAGGCGAGTTTGGGGCCACCGTTTCAATTATGACGTGTCCAGCATACCCATCAGTTGACTGGACGAGACGAAGCGTAAGTCCAACACTTTGTAAGTTTCCTTTTATTAATTCAACCTTTGATAAAGATGAAAAGAAATGAAAACTGACTTAATACATTCATAGTAGTGGAGAAAATAGTTCCATCCTGAGAAGGCTCCATTCTTGCTGCTGATTGTTGTACCACAGTGACTATTATTATGGAGACATAAAGGAGGGAAGAAGGATTTTTTAAAAGATATTTTATTTATCTGTTTAAAAGGCAGAGTGACAGAGAGTAATCTTCTATCCACTGATAAATAGCCACAACAGTCAGGGCTGGACCAGGCTAAAGCCAGGAGCCAGGAACTCCATCTTAGTCTCCCACATGGGTGGTAGGGGCCCAGTGCTCAGGCCATCTCCTGCTGCTTCCCACGTGCGTTAGCTAGGAGCTGGATCAGAAGTGCAGCACTCGCACAGTGCTCTGGTGTGGGCTGCTGGCACTGCAGCATTGGCTTTATCACTGCCACAACTGTCAACCCAGAAATCACTGTTCTAACGATATGAATTAACATACTCCCATACTATACATTTAAGTTATCCCCCCAAAAAACACCCCAAAACAGAAAACACAAATAAACAACACTTTGTCTTCAATGTGTCCAATCCATGACCATTGTATAAAGTTTGTAAATAAAAGGAAAGGTGATGGCTGACACTGTGTTGTAGTGGGTAAAGCCACTGCCTGCAGTGCTGGCATCCCATGTGGGCACCGACTTGAATCCCAGCTGTTCCACTTCCCATTCGGCTCTCTGTTATGGCCTGGGAAAGCAGTAGAAGATGGCCCAAATCCTTGGGCCCCTATACTTGTGTGGGAGACCCAGAGGAAGCTCCTGGCTCTTGGTTTTGTTTTGGCCTGGCTCCAGCTGTTGTGGCCATCTGGGGAGTGAACCAGCAGATGGAAGACCTCTCTCTCTGCCTCTGCCTCTCCCTAACTCTGCCTTTCAAATAAATCTTAAAAAAAGAGATAAAAGTGAAATGAAAAATATTCCTAATCATACTAGGTGGAACTGTTCATCTTTTTATTTTGCAAGATACATGTTAGCAAACTGAGAACTGACTCAGACCTCACACTGTAAATATCATATTGTGAATGCAACTCTGAATCTTGCTTTTCTCAAATATAACATAAATAGTATATGTCTTAGGTGTGCCTTTGAAATTCCACTTTTTTATGGTGTATGGTTGATTCTCTGTATCTACAGGCTCTCTATCTGTGGATTCAACCAACCAGCAACCAAAAATATTTAGAAACAAAAACTGCACCTGTACCGAATATTGTCACTATTTTGTATTTACATAGCATTCACATTGTATTAGGTATTGAAAATAATTTAGAGATGACTTTAAGAATATGTAAGGATGTATATAGGTTATGTGCAAATACTATATCATTATATTAGAAAACTGAGTGCCCATGATTTTTGTTATACACTGGGGGTCCTGGAACTGGTTTCTTATAGATATTACAGGATGACTGTGGATTTTCTTTTTGGGGGAAGGCAAAGGAAAAGAGTTTACATTGTGCTTTATTATGTTACCCTGTTAATGAGACACCCTGCTCTAACTAACTCATTAAGATAATTTTGTTTCTAAACAAATCTGTCATCCAATTTATGAGAGACACATATCCCAGATTAACATCACTTGTGAATTCAGAAAAGCATAAACCATGTTATCTGTCTTCATTCAAATCGATGATTTAAAAAAAGGCTAGAACACCACATCCCTTCAGATGACAAGAATTCAATTGGTGTTTACTGAGTTCAATTACAAATTGCTCTAATTGTATTACCTGCCTACCCACATTTCTTATTTCTGTTCTTCAAGGGTGTGTCATGAGGAACTTTGCAAAAAAACCCTGCTAATATCCACATACATCACTGTCTATGTTGCTTTATAATATAAATACCACTTAGTGAGAAATTCAATTTTCCTACCTAATGATGTTGGCTGATAAAAGATAACTTACTTGTTCTTTAATTTGGGTATTAATACATTTTGTAAAGTTCTTTTTATTTATGATGAAAATCTTAATCTTATTATGCTCCAGAAATGGAAAATGTGGTCAAGTTATGGATTACCTGAAGATTTATAAAATCCCTGAAAAAAACACACAATTTGTGTTTAAAACTCCCCAAACATCCATCTTGCCTTATTATATGGTAAATAATCACTTTATACTATTAAAGTGTTTTTGTTACCAATGCCCTTAAGAACACATTCCAGGAATATAAAAATATTTCTTAGAGAGTGCCAAAGCTGAAAATTTAGAATGCAAACTTTAATAATTACAAAATGCTAAGGACAGCAAATGGGTAAAAACCTACACTGTATGAATATGAGTACTGCAACATTTAAAAATTAACACTTGTAATGTGTTTTGGTAATTTAGTCTTTGCTCTTAAAGTAGAATCAAAGTTGGAGGGATGGGTTCAAGAAGTGAACTAGGGGTCGGCACTGTGGCATAGTAGGTTAAGCCTCTGCCTGTGGCACTGGCATCCCACATGGGCACCAGTTCAAGTCCCAGTTGCTCCACTTCCATCTCGCTCTCTGCTAATGGCCTGGGAAAGCAGCCGAGGAAAGCCTAAGTGCTTGGGCACCTGCACAGCATAGGAGACCTAGAAGAAGCTCCTGGTTCCTGGCTTCAGATTGGCCCAGCTGTTGTGGCCATCTGGGGAATGAACCAGTGGATGAAAGACCTCTCTGTCTCTCCCTGCCTCTTTCTGACTCTCAAATAAATCTTCAAAAAAAAAAAAGGGGGGGAGGGGGCGCCTTGGCTCACTTGGTTAATCCTCCACCTGAGGCGCCAGCATCCCATATGGACACCGGGTTCTAGTCCCAGTTGCTCCTCTTCCAGCCCAGCTCTCTGCTGTGGCCCAGGAAGGCAGTGGAGGATGGCCCAAGTGCTTGGGTCCCTGCACTCATGTGGGAGACTAGGAGGAAGCACCTGCACCCTCATGGGAGACGAGAGAGAGAGAGAGAGAAAGAAGAGAAGAGAAGAGAAGAGAAGAGAAGAGAGAGAAGAGAAGAGAAGAGAGGAGAAGAGAAGAGAGCAGAGCAGGGGAGTGAGGTAAGAGAAGGTGAGTAGAGGGATAGGTAAGCGGAGGGGAGGGGAGGGGAGGGGAGGGGAGGGGAGGGGAGGGGAGGGGAGGGGAGGGGAGGGGAGGGGAGGGAATTAAGCAGACCAGCGTGGGGTGCAGTGGGTTAAGCTGCCACCTGCAGTGCCAGCATCCCATATTGGTACCAGTTTGCTCCACTTTCTGATCCAGTTCCCTGCTAATGCACCTGGAAAAACAGAAGATGGCCCAAGTGTTTGGGCTCCTGCACCCACATGGGAGGGGAGGGGAGAGAAGGGGAAAGGAGGGGAGGGGAGGCGAGAAGCTGCTCCTGGCTTCAGCCTGGCCTAGCTCTGGCCCTGTTGAGGCCCTCTGGGGAGTCAATCAACAGATGGAAGATCTCTCTGTCTCCCCCCACTCCAACTCTGCCTTTCAAATAAAATAAATCTTTTTTTTAAGAAAAATTTATTTATTTATTTGACAGAGTTGTAGACAGTGAGAGAGAGAGACAGAGAGAAAGGTCTTCCTTCCGTTGGTTTGCTCCCCAAATGGCCGCTACGGCCGGCGCTGTGTGCTAATCCAAAGCCAGGAGCCAGGTGCTTCCTCCTGGTCTCCCATGTGGGTGCAGAGACCCAAGCACTTGGGCCATCCTCCACTGCCCTCCTGGGCCACAGCAGAGAGCTGGACTGGAAGAGGAGCAGCCGGGACTAGAACCCGGCGCCCATATGGGATACCAGTGCCGCAGGTGGAGGATTAACCAAGTGACCCACGGCGCTGGCCCCCATAAATCTTTAAAACAAATAAAAAAAGAGAAGTAAACTAAGGTTAGTGTAGGTATTCATGTAATTTAGTTTCTTAATTCATAAATATTCAAAATGGAAAGCAAAGTGATTTTAAGTAGGTATAATTAATCAGGGTAAATACTAAACTCTCTCCCTTTTCCCTTAATTTTTACTATTGACTTTTAGTAAATATTATTAATTTCAAATTTAAAAGAGGAATGGAATTAAAACTATTTCTTCTACTTTTCTTTTTTAAAGAAATGTTTTGGCCGGCGCCGCGGCTCACTAGGCTAATCCTCCGCCTTGCGGCGCCAGCACACCGGGTTCTAGTCCCGGTTGCCCCTCTTCCAGGCCAGCTCTCTGCTGTGGCCAGGGAGTGCAGTGGAGGATGGCCCAGTTGCTTGGCCCCTGCACCCCATGGGAGACCAGGAGAAGTACCTGGCTCCTGCCATTGGATCAGCATGGTGCGCCGGCCGTGGCGGCCATTGGAGGGTGAACCAACGGCAAAGGAAGACCTTTCTCTCTGTCTCTCTCTCACTGTCCACTCTGCCTGTCAAAAATAAATAAATAAAAATAAAAAAAATAAAAAATAAAGAAATGTTTTATTTGTTTGAAAGAGTGATGGAGTGGGGTAGGGGGAGGGGGGGGGGGAGAGGAGAGACAGCTCTTCCACCTGCTGGTTCGTTCCCCAAATGGCCACAATGGCAGGGGCTGGTCCAGGTCAAAGCCAAGAGCCTGGAGCTCTGTCTGGGTCCCACATGGGTGGCAGTTGGCCCATCTTCTAGTGCTCTTCCGAGGCCATTAGCAGGGAGCTGGATTGAAATGGAGCAGCTGAGACACAAACTGGTGTCCATATGGGATGCTGGTGCCCCAGGTGGTGGCTTTACCTGTTACGCCACAATGCTGGCCCCAATAATTTTTTTAAAAAACATAGTGAGTTTACTTACCCCGCATCTTATGTGTGCTTGCTTGCCCTTCTGCCATGTGGTAACAAAACACAAAGGGGCCTGCCAAATGCTGGCCCTATATTCTTGGATTTCCCATTCTCCAAACAGTCAAATAAACCTGTCTTGTTTATAATTACCCAGTGCTGCTTTTCTGTTGTAGCAGTAGAAAACAGACTAAGACAAAGGGTTTTTTTTCTTCAGGATAGCTCTTACTTTAATTGTAGGATTTATGTAAGTATTACTTCTGTAAT